AACATGATATGACACATTATGAAAATTAAACGAGGTCTAATATGGTCATACATACATTCCTGAGGGCAGTCTGTGTCTGTGCAGTAGGATTGAGATTGCCTGAGCTGAAAGAGAAATTTCAGAAGGGACATGGTAGATTGAATAAAAGAGAAGAGAAGGAAAAATAATGTTATAATTCTTCATGTTATGACTTTGATGCCCTGGCAATGGCTTATTTTAGTGTGGTTTGCACTGCCCCCATTTAGGGAGAGAAGAAAAAAGTGGTATATAAACACTGCTAATAAAACTGACATTATCCTTATGAGTACCTTGTTACATTAAGCCAACGAACAAGTGAGCCACACATTAATATTACCAACAGCACATAATCACAAGAGGATGGCATGAAACAACCATCTGAGATCCGCCCGCCTCCTAAAATATACTGCAGAAATCTGACTGACAAATGCTGTGTAAAGTCTTTAGTTATTTAGACAACACCCTCTCCTGCTGCAAGCGAATCAGAAACCCCCAGGGCGGTTTAAAAACTGAGCCAACTGCAGCTCGCCACGCAAGTTACACCTGTGCACAAAAAGCCAATGAGGTCACCTGGAAACTGACACAGCCTGATTATAAGCTGTTTCCATTCTTTACAGTAATTAAAATATTTTTTCAATGCACTGTCCATTAAGAAGAACTGGAGAATATTTACAAGCACAATGCGAACCTGACAGCACAAAGTGCAACGGAGTGAAATGTCTCAGCCAGGCAGAACTGATTGGCTCTCAAGATAAACACTGAGCAGGAACCAGGATATGTTGGCTCAGTGTCAGCAGGCGGCTTTTTATTTCCTTCTTGTCAGCTGAGACTTTCATTTACTTGCTAGTTGTCTCTAATATTAATCTCTTTGCTCCCCTCTCTGGACGTCGCCAGAGGTATTTTCACTTCACACTGCACACTTGGAACATTTGACCTTCCCTACATCTCAACTCTGTCATCATTCTGCCACTGAGGATGTCGTGAAAACCACTTTGTTCCATGACTTACCAGATTGATGAGGCGTCTCATAGCGTACTCATGGGTGCAGATGCACTCACAAGGGTCGAAGCCCCCCTCTGCCATTTCTCACCAGACTGTGTCCACCCTGGACACGACCAAAAGTACTGTAAGCAACTAGGCAGCCATGAACTAGTGAGAGAAACCTAATGCTCCCTCTTGTCAGTGCTGTGCTCTATTGTTGTTTCACAGACACACAGATTAGAGGGAGGAGACTGCCCATTTAAGGACAGTCAGCAGCACACTCTGTGACTTTATCATTTTGCTGTATGTAATCTAGGTTTTTGTAAGAGCTGTCACAGTTTTGTCTATAATTATGTATATATTTTTGGCAGGACATACCATATGCTGCCAGTCAAGTTTTTGAATACTATATGTTAAAGTATTTTTGCACTGCAGCGATGTATCTTTATTGTTACCACCTATAAAAACTGAACAGCAAAGCTAAATAAAATTGAACTAAGAAATGTTTGAGACTTTATCTTATTGAAAATAAACTCTAATTAGACCTTTTCTGGCAACATACTCAATACTTGACATGAGTAGATTCTGTTGCCGCCCATGAAAAATCTAAACTGGGTTACCTTTAGGATGTACTTGTTTTTAATATAACGCCAATTAGGACTCCCATATATGCAAAAATATAGCTGACTGGTTAACATCATCCACCTATCATCACAGGAGACTGATGTCAGCTTAAGATGGGGTGAAAGCAAACAATTGTTAGTCCACAGAATAAAGGCAGGCTTGCAGAAGTTTCAAACTAAAACAAATGGCCTGGTATACTGATGGAAAACATACAGATGATGTTAGCATTTGTTGCAGGACAAATATGCGGTCAAATGTACAGAAGTCTGCTACAGGTGCCTGATAAAAGTTATCCCTGTCTACACCAGTATACCAGATACTGGATATTTGAGGCTGATAATATTGATATTTGATTGACTGAATTCCCATATATTTTCTTTGGTCATCTTTTTTACATTAACATGGTGCACAAACATTTCTTTTTTAAAATTTTTCATTAATAGTGCATTAGTAAATTTTAAAGTTAAACGATAAATTCTGTTACAAACTATTTAATGTATGGAGATGGTTTATGCACTTGTCTCTTTTTGACTTGTCTTTTCAACAGTTGTGTTTAACAGTAACAGTTTGGCACCTTATGTTGTCTTCTGCACATCATGTTAACTGCTTCATGCACCACTTGCCCCAAGGGGAAACTACAATTCATTCATATTATGTACTTGTACATGGATCAGTTGACAATGAAGCTCTTACGTTTTTAATATACAGTATAGATCTGTACGACAATAAAGTAAAAAGTCAAACATTTTTTAATGCAGTGGTTCTCAACCTTTCTTCATGTCTAGGACTCTTACATTGATACAAACTAGGGGTCAGATCCCCATTTGATAAGATTTCACTTCAGTAGCCTCCATCTGAAAAGAAATTGGTTGTTGGATGTGATTAAGACCAAAACTCTATAGCTGTCAACTTCAGTTGATGAGATCACTGAGGCGGAAGTTTGAAAATGATCAGAAAAGTCACTGTGATGACTCTTACTCGCCTTGGACTCACTTCTATAGTGAATGAATGGTGAAATAATAGTTCATAATATTCCCTAATTTCCTGAGGACCACCTAGAACCCCCTCAAGGACCCCGGTTGAGAGCCACTGTTCTGATTGACTTTTGAGGCTATGTATTTCTTCAGTATATCAATATGCACAGTGAAGTAAGGATCCATCTACTGCACCACAACATGCTAAAACAAAAAACTGTTGAAAAACAAGTGACTGCCACAGAATGCTAACTTTACGGTGACTAACGCTGCAAGATTTTGACCGAGTCAAAACACGTTACATTTTCCATGGGTGTCTGCCTGCATATTTCTGCAGTGACGAACAAACGACAAGGCCAGTTTATATCGACCCTGCTGAAACACATTCAAGGACAGCTACCATTACTCTTTACTAACCAACAAGTGAGTTTTACAATCACGTATTATTGCTCTCGAACAGATTTAGCTCACGTTAGATTAGCTCATTGCTAACCTAGCCAACCCTGAGAAAACTCACGGTGTTGTCGTTTTTCCTCCAACGTTAATAGTGAATATATGATTAGAGACAGATGTGACGGCAAACGACATCGAAACATGACTTACTTGATATTTGCAGATGTTGAGAAAGCGTTACGAGTCTTTGAGAAACGGCCCGGGCTGCACGGCAGCAGCACAGAAACCATTAAACTGCAGACATGTCAACCTAACGTCTGTGTTTTGTTTGGTGCACGTGAGCCAACCAGCGATTCTTCACGACAGACATCCGGGAACTGGGGCGGTAGACTAATAAGGGGCGTTTAAAACGCCTCTCATTGGTTCAGAAATCTGATGGACGGGCAATTGAACCAATCATAGCCAGTAACGACTGTAACGTCTGGATAGTAAACAAACAAGTCTGGCTCCATATCATCATACAGAGGCAAACGACGAGCTCCAACATCTGCACAGTTGTGTAACCAAATACACTGAGGTGGAGTGTAACACAAATACTCTACGTTTAAGGACAATACCGCAACAATATACTCGAGCATTTAAATTGTACGTTACTTCCTGCTTCTACTCCAAAACATTGCAGAAGAATCAGATTAAGAACAAGGTGTATTGCCAAGTAGCCTTGGTTTTCACTTACAAGGTATTTGCCTACGTGTTTGATGAAATAAAGGCAAGATACTGCAAAGGACAGGAAAAACAGAAAATAGAGAAACAGAAAAAATACAATACAAATATTAAAAAGATATTCTACAATAAAACATACTTTAACAACTATGTACAATAAAACAGTTTTAGTATGAGAAAGCTTTACATTATTGTGCAGAATGTGCAAATTCAGAAATCTGCAGAGGGAAATTTACTTTTACTTCATTACAAATATCTGACAACTGCACTTAAAAATGCAGTGATCAGTTTATAAAATATAATGCATTGATCCCACCAGTATTAACAGTAGCCTTGCCTGTACCAGATACTACTTAAATAATTGAAATACATAGTAATCCAACAATTATAATAATCCAACAATGTAATATATAAAATTATAACACTGAGTGGGCCCATTTTGCTGCATAATGATTTATCTATTTTTATTTGGATTTTGGTAAGATCTTAAATGCAGGGCATTACTGATTTTTTCATTGTAGTATTGCTTTTTTAAACCTAAATTAAATATCTGAATAGGCTACTTCTTCCACCACTTCCAAATATATTAAAATACAATAAAGCTTTAAGTTACAACTTTGTTGTACTGAACGTTTATTAAGTTACACTGTAATCGAGCGTTTTGCCATCAGCTGACTGTAGTTTCTTCACTTTAACATGATGGGATTTTTTTCAACCATCTGCCAGCCTGTCTGTTAAACAGTCAAAGTAGTTAAAAAGTACAATAATTCAGAATTTCCTACGTTAGTTTAATCCAATTACTTGTCTGTCAGTCAGTCGGGAGAACCTGACTGCACTCTTTTTAACTTTTATTTCACCACTTAATAAGAGATGAAAGCAGCTCCTTGACATAAGTTGATATCTAGGCTATAAAAGCAGCTGAACTGTCACAGAAAGAGTAGGAGATTAAATTTCAGTAAATGTTAGTTGAAGAGATAGTTGAGTGTGTGCATTGTAAATAGTTGAAGTGTCAGTTGGTAGGCCTGTGTAAGGTGCAATAGCAACCGAAGAGTAAAAATGAGATACATCTGACAGCTTTTTCTGTTACCTTTATATTTTGTTACACATTCAAAATAATAATAAAAACAGTTATGATTAAACTCATCACAGTCACATGTAAAATCCTATGGGTGAATGGAGATGCTAACGCTAGTAAACGTTACCAGTGATAGTAATGTGTTCAGCACATGATGAGAAATGACCTGAGGGCAGGTTGAAAAGAACATGTAGCCAGGTACCAGAGCCCATTAATGAAACTTCCAGTGTCTGCTCCGTGCAGCTGCACTGTGTGTGCATGTTCTGGACTGACTAACGCTGTACGCTGGCTGGCAGCAAAGCGGTCGACGGCAACGGTGAGCTGCCTTTGGACTGAAAAGGAGCGGTGGACGGTGAAAGTGAAAGGGAGAGCGCCCTAACTGTGGAAAGCACCGGAGCAGGCAGTCCCGTTACAAACAGACATCATAGTGAGGGAGAGAGAGTGTGTGTGAGAGAGAGAGGCCCCGGGTCTTGCTTTGAGGCAGCAGCGGTTCAGCAGACACACACAGCCATGGCTAACATTGCGGTCCAAAGGATCAAGCGGGAGTTCAAAGAAGTTCTCAAAAGCGAAGAGGTGCGGTAACGTTTCTGGCTATTTTTTACTTCCATTCTGCTCTTTTTTTGTTATTGTTTTAATTTAATTAAATTGTAAAGTGTCTGTAGCCATTGTGACAAAGACCAAAATTACCTAACGCCAGGTCCTAGTCCTGTGTTGCAGTAGGTCAGGCCTTAACACAAGAACTTTAGCTAGCTTTAGCTTGATATCAGTGTCTGGTTCAACCTCTCCTGTTATATCAGGTGCGTGTGTTCAGGCAACACCGGGGATTCAGCTCTCAACTGGCAGGCCCTCTGTTTCTAACAAACAATACCGCCTAACTTTGGGTAATTACCTAACAAAAATAAACCTGCTTTGTATGGGCTATAGCACACGCCCTATACACGGCACCATAGGTGTTTACCAACGCGAATTAGTTACTGACACTTCGGGTTAGCAGCTTTTAGCTTGATAACGGTAACGTTATTTTGACATCTCATCCACAGTTAGCATTAGCCTGTGATGTTATGATATCACGTTCACCAACTTATCACATTTATTTAACGTTAATAACTGTAGTTTCAATACGGATGGCTTGAGGTAGTTTAAAGCGTGTATTTTATCACGCTACTGCTTGTCACGTTTTGTTATTGTGGGTTTGTAGTTATGTCAACTTTGCTAGCTTAGCTCTAGTAGCAAGCTATCTATGTTGCTAACGCATTTAAATGTCCCAACGGGTCCTGTGGAAACACCAACATTTATTTTTGCAGAAAATGACAGTTGTGCCTTTAATAGCCATCATGTCTGTAGCTTCATATTTTTTGTAAAAGTGGTTTCATACTTGACAAAGACATGTCAGGACACAGACTGTGAGCAGGGATTTCTTGAAACACAAGTGTATTTCATTGTATCCCTCTCATTTGTCCCAACCCACAGACAAGTAAAAACCAGATAAAAGTAGATTTGGTGGATGAGAACTTCACAGAGCTGAGGGGGGAGATAGCAGGTCCTCCAGATACACCATATGAAGGTATTGTCACAGTCCAGCATCACAATGACCTGACTAGATATTTGCAACAAGACTTTTCAATGTTATGATTTGCCCTGCTGAAACATTTTGTTGTTTTTCTTTATATCCAAGGTGGCAGATATCAGCTTGAAATAAAAATCCCAGAAACCTATCCTTTTAACCCGCCAAAGGTATGTGCGTCAGTTGCGCCCATCTGGTGCTGTATGTCCTTTACTTCTCTAACTCAAGTGTATTTACATGCACACTATCATCTGGTTAGCATCATGGTTTTTGAGTGAACATATTCTGAATTCAAGAACTTTGCATCCTCCAAACCGGTTTGAGGAATTTGAAGATGCCAGCTGAAGCACTCTAATGTGGCTAGTTAACACCTTATTCAGGTTTCTGATCACTGTCTGCCATGTGCACAGGTGTGCCCTCATTTTAAGTTACACAGTAGTTTTTCTTGTCACTTAAAAGACAGTTTACAGTGATAAATATTATGGTGTCAGTTCTGTAACAGTCTGCATGCTTAAATCAAAGAGAGTCTGATACTGATAAATCAGAGGTTAAACTGTGTCGATAAATGCAGACAGAAAAGCAAAGATATCAGAGAGATGCAAGCCTACTCAGTTGAGTGGGCGGGGTCTATGGTCTGGAACCAGGCTAAGAGTTTCTGAGACGTTAAGTAATCATAGACACACCCACATACAGAACATAAGGAACCTGGGACAATTAGAAAATGGACGTATAATATATATGAAGGGACCTGAGTTTTGGTATATCATTTAAACATTGTATCTCAATTGTTGAGGTGATAGAAACAAAATCCTCTTTCACAGTAATTTTACATTGCAATATTGATATATATGGTAATATAGTAAAGTTTTTTTTTTATAAATATGTTGAGTTTATTGATAAAATTATCAGAGAGGAATGTTTGCTTGTGGCTTATCCAGTGAATTAAATATCTGACACATGGGAGACTTGGTCACATTGATGCAAAGCCATATAAGAATCCAATATTGCCACAGAGCAGTTCTGCTTGTTTTTTTTTAACATTGCCAACAGTGGCCTCATATACCCAGAGAGGTTAAAATGATGGTATAAATGGCAGGACAAAAACTACCCAAATATGATCAAAACAAGGATAAGACTCGGGACCAGGGCCCTGTTTTTCATAAGCAGATAACTGAGCTATCCATATGAGACTGTTGATGATTTGACACGAGTCTAGATTTTTTGGAACTTAAAAGCTAGCTGAATTTATATCAAGACCTGCTGTCAGAGCAACAAATCCTTAACCCAGAACCTGCAAAAGGGCAGCTTAATTGACAGCTGGATCATCACCAAGGTGCTTTACTGCAGACCACATACACTAAGTGATTTCAAAATACAAATTAAAATACAAATTTTTGGTGTAATTATTATTCCTATGTTTATTTTCATAATGAAGTTACATATACATTATAAAATATAAACAGATGTTTTACACAAAAAAGAACCAATTTAAATGTAGTATGAGAAACTGTGAATAGAAATACTTCAATGCAGCTTAAAAATACTGACCTAAGAAGCCAGACCGCCATTTAATTTGACATTCAAATTAGTCATTTAAACACTGAAACTTACTAAAGTAAGAACTGCATAACTCACTTTGTTGTGAAGTGTTTATCAGTTGCGTTTTAAGAGGTTTTAGAAAGGTTTAATTTTCATTGAAGACTTATGATTATCACTTACAGTAAAAGTCTCTTGCATGTCCATGAGGAGATCCTCATTTCATCACGCACCAACATCACTCAGTTTGTGATCACGTTAACTGATAATATCTGATGATTAACAACCTGGAAACAGTGGAGACATGATGGAGCATGATGCAGAACAAATTGGCACCTGTAAAACTGCCAGTTAACACATTAAATGTGACTTATATCTGATAATATAGTGCCCCAGTGCATGCTGGGTTCCCAACACACTTAATGTAGGTTTAATCACATTTAATCAGCCAGTCATATGAATGGTGATCATGGTGTTAAATGATTTTACTTTTATATGCAGTATATGTAGTGCTGTTCGAGATAACTTCATCCAGGATGAACAAATCAATCCTCAAACTGCTTTCAAAGAACAAAGTTAGCTGGGTGAGAATAGACAGGGTTATTGTAGCCTGATAACAGCTTGTTAGTCTGCATTAGTTAAGCCAGATCTGAGGATCAGGGCCCAGAATACAAATGTGCTTGTAAATGTACCCATTATAACCTACAATTGCCTCTGTCTTTTCTCAGAATTATGCCATTGTTATCCAGGTAACCTCTGACATGTGTCTTTCTTAGGTGCGTTTCATCACTAAGATCTGGCACCCTAATATCAGTTCTGTGACAGGAGCAATATGTCTGGACATTTTAAAAGACCAGTGGTGAGTGAGACTAATGTGAACATTATGGCCTGTTGTACTTACATGTACCAGTGTGTCCCCCTTTTCTCAAACACTCTCAATTTACCTACTCCAACTTTAAATCTGTCTCACCCAGGGCAGCTGCGATGACCCTGCGGACGGTGCTGTTGTCTCTACAGGCTCTGCTTGCTGCAGCAGAACCAGATGATCCACAGGATGCAGTAGTAGCAAATCAGGTGAGAGACATTTTTGTAAACCAACAGTCTCTCTCTCTGTCTACCCTCACTGTTTGCAGTGTCTCCTGATAATGAACCTCTCTGAATTTTCTCTCTGTTTCCTCAGTATAAGCAGAACCCAGAAATGTTCAAACAGACTGCAAGGCTGTGGTCTCACGTCTATGCAGGCGCTCCTGTCTCCAGTCCCGACTACACACGTAAAATAGACAAACTCTGTGCCATGGGCTTTGATAAGGTCAGAACCATTTCCTTTTTTTTTTATATGTTTGGACAGAGTTTGGGGGTTTGGTTTAGTGGTAATGTTGATACAGTTAGTCCTAATACTAAATCAGTAGATTGCCAGAAAATAAACCGGCAACAATTTTGATAATCAGTTAATTATATGAGTATGTAGTTGTTGTTGTTTTTTTTAAATATTGCAGTTTTTCTCAGTTCTCTGTGATTAAAAACGTAAATATTTTTGGGGTTTACAGGCTGTTAATCTGACAAAAGAAGACATTTGAATTAGTGATGCAAGATATATATATCAGGCTAATAATGGGAAATTTATACCATTATGTATTATTCCACTGATGAAACTTAAGCCAGTAAATAGAGCCAATAATGCAAAGCCAAAATGCTTTCATTGACTTAACAAGTGCAGCATCTACACAGTCCAGTACAGTAGGTGGCCACCAATACACACAGAAAAGAGGAAGAACAAGCACACCATGCTGACTGGAGAGCCAAACATGTTGTCTCCTGTGTAGATGTGTTCCATAGTTTCAGAAGAAGACAACAAAATTGTGCCAGGGGTTTGATCCCGGATGGCCCTACACCTCACCCGAGCAGCAAACTTTCTGTTGCTGCTGTTACACAGGTTAGACCCAGCTCTCCACCTGGGGAACGGTCACTTCAATGTCTGCCCCGTTAGCATAAGCGAACATAGCAGCAGCAGCTAACATCTGACACAACAAATTCACACCGACACCAAAACAGTTTGACTGTCAGTAACTGTTAGGTTATGTACAATGCTGCAGTTAGCTGTGTGTCACTGTGTGTGTGTGTGTGTGTGTGTGTAGGCAAACTGTCAGCAACTGTCCCCTGCGTGGAGCTCACACTCCTGCAGCAGTAGTGTGGGTAGGCAGGGGGGCTGCAAGCTGCAAAGCACAAAGCCTTTATTTTTGTATTGACAGATGCACTTTACTTTCTGTTTCAATTAATTGTGTATTGATGTACTATGCTGGAAAAAAATATGGAATGTTTCAAGAGTCAGAAACCTTAATTTGTTTTTGTTGTGTCAACAGTAGTGATATAAATTAGATTTGGTCCTGTCAGAGCAATGGAGTATTAAATCACCTGCTTTTGCTCACCACATCTTAGCTTTTTTTACGCTCAGGGGTGCATTTACTACTGGTTATGAACTTCCTTTTAAAATTCAAAACTTAGCGGTTATCTTATCAGTATCAGCCATGAGAAGCAGGTAATTATAGTATTGACTGAAAAAACTCCCTATCTTGCATCTCTAATTTGAGTATGTAACCTTAAACTCAGGGAGCTTATGATTTGCATTTCTCTTACTGTACAAAAAATTAGCAGTAGATTAATCAGTAATGACAATAGTCGTTATAATAATTAGTTGCTGCCTTATTTGACAGCGTGCCTGTCAGAGTGAGCAGGGGTTGAGTTTCTCTGTGCTTAATGTCAGAGAATTTCCTCTGAACAAGGCCCGTTTTATTCAAACATAATTCCCATGAAAAGAATTAATTTGATTTGTGTTTTCTAAAAAAGCTGCTCAAAGGATTGACATGTTCGATGGTCATAATAGCACATTTTAAATTAGTTCTTTCAGTTTTATTATAAACTCAGATCTTGCAAATGACGTTCAAATTACAATAATTTAAAATTGTTTCTCCCTCAAACACAGAATGCAGTAATAGCAGCCTTGTCTTCAAAATCTTGGGACGTGGAAACGGCGACAGAGCTGCTCCTCAGCAACTGAAGTGCAGCCAGATGTGAGGATCCCAAACTCCCTTCATCATAGCATCAGCTCCTCCCCGGCATCCATTCCACCATTGCCTTTTGTTACACAGACTACACCCCATTCACCACAGCAGTCTGAGCCTTCTTTTATAACAAGTTTGTTTTGCTACAAACTCAACACCGGTAGCACCACAATCGCCAATATGCACACCACCCTGTTGCCTCTCTGACCCCATCTGTCCATTACGCTGTGTCGTCTCTTCCACTAACTCCAAATGTGTATCCTTGTAAAGCCACCAAAAACCTTCAGTCATGCATCTTGTCTTCCATGCCCTTTATTCATATTGACTCTGAAACTTTCTTTCTTGTCTCCATTCATTTTTTGTTCCTTTTTAATATCGCAAAGAATCAAATAACTGCCACTGCCTGGTGGGTTTTCCAGGTTTAATTGTGAAGGAAATCCTGCATACTGCTCTCACAGCACATAACCATTTACTCTCTCTAGCAACCAGTTGGACCTTATGTTGGATTATTTTCTTCTATGGACATTTAATACTATAAAGGTCTAGCTGCATTCGATTGACTTGACTGGATAGTGTTCTGCAGTGAGCAGTGTGATGGATTTTTCCTCAAGCTTATCATGGATGCTTCAATCACCTGCAAAAGTTTTTTTTTCCCCGTCTGTAGAATTAGAGAAGATCACACAGACATCCTCAAAACATCTACACAGAAGGAAAAAAAGTTATCTGTAAATAGATGCGTGTAAATTTGAAAATACAATGGGGATATACTTTTTTTCTTACATGGCATTGTAAAACAAATTATTTTAAATATAAACTATGCCTAGTTTACAATTATATGAAGAGATATCTTTTTATGGTTTTGTGATCCAGGAGAAATCCCTCTGAATGTCCTGTTGTTTTTTTTCTTCTTTTTAAGATTGTTTAGGGGTGGCACAACCAAAATCCTGGCCCTAATGGGGACAGGAGGTGACAGCCAGCTCAGGCCCCCGAAGGTCACATTACATGCCACCTTTTCTGCTCCACCACAATCCAACCTTGTCTTTTGTTGTTCTTGCATGTTCTATGCTGCCTTTTATTTCATTTGGCCAAATGATGTGGTGACGGGGATGTCTGTTCCGTTCAACATCCCTTCAGACTTGTGGAACTTGATAGACTCTTTCTAATCCGTGGAAAGAGATACCTGGAAGCTCTGCTCAGCAAGCCACTAAAGCACACCCAGTTTGACATCCGTAGGGAACCAAAGCCTTTTTCTGTCAAGTATGTTGCTGGAAAAAAATTCTCTTCTGCTCCGAAACAGATTCGCCTCGAGAAGAAATGAGTGATTGTGAATGTTTGCAATGCTGTGGTTTTTTTTTTTTTTTTGTTAAACTCATTTCAGAGCAATCACTTTCAGCGACGTTATTTTGAGCCACGGATTAAAGGATGTGCTCACCCTCTCAGTCCTGATGTTGATCATTAAGAGGGGGAGCTTTATCATGAATCACTGATCCAATCCAGCAGCACTCAATCAAAACTTTGGCCATATACATATATATGTAAAGAGAGAGAGGTGTGTAGGTAACATCCTATACGCCCAAACATGCTTTACTTGCAGCCAAATAAAATGCTCATTGAGGTCTTTGAATGATGTCTTATGAGTAGTAAAAGAGGCTGGAACTCCTCTGACGTAGATCGCAGGCCTGCAGTGTTTTCACACCTTTTGATTTGAGCTACATGGACTGTAAAGAAAATGCTCAGCGTATAGACAAGTGGGGTGTTGATGAATCCTCACACATGGCTTTTCTGTTAAGAGAATCTTCCTTTTGCTTGCCCTCCAGCTCAGCCCCTGCCAACACGGCAGCATATTACAGTACTACATGGAGTTATCGCGCTCCCTCTCCACTGATGGTGAACAATTTCCACCAAGAGCCAAAAACGAACATAAAAAAAAAGGATTCATAGTCAGAGGTAGAATGCGCACACACCATCTCCTTGACTTGTAAATAGTCCAGTTCTTGATAAAGAGCTGTCTCGTTATCACTAGAGTACACCATTGATGGCTGGATCTATATTTTGTAAGAAAAAGAAAGGACAAAAAAAGGAACAGAGGCCCCCTCCTCCCCGTCTTCCTGGTGTTCTCACAATGTACAATATTGCACGATGATGAAGCATAGAAAAAAGGGGCTGTTGCATCTCAGTTTCTCCATTTGGATTGAGACTTATTTTCCTCTTTTGTTTCCTTGGAAGCGAGCATCAGCAGTATATAAAAAAAAGCATGGTTATTTATTGTGACAGTGTCATGTTTCTTTGATTAAAAAAAAGTGGAAAATCAAGTGTGGTTTGTCTCGGTGTTTTCACAACTGCACTTCATTAACACGGTGATCTGGACAAATTCACTGCATGTAACATCTAAAGGCATTTATTTTCTGGAAAAAAAAAAAAATTAAATATGATCATGAGAATAGGCAAACGTTTAACTACATCAAAAATAAGTCGTCATCAACACAACCCGCAAGGTTTCCACTCACTCGATGCTTAAAAGCAGGCTTTTACCCGGCAAAGTAACTGACAGAAGTACAAAAAATATTTCATTGTAAAAGAGGAACAAAAACCTGAACACATACTTGTATAGTAATATATCATTTATGCATTCCAACGTGAACTTCAGCAGTAAAAAAACAAAACGGTAATTCAAACCCAGCTCAGTTTCAGAGCCCCTGACCATTCTTGGGGAAGAGCTTGGAGCACAGTATCCAGAAATGTTAAACAGCCTAAATTTGTCCATTAACACACTGGAAACAAACCAGAAGGCCTTTAAAAGCATTACATGTTGCAGTTAAGAGGCCACAGAGTTTCTACAGGGCCATATGACGCTATAACCAAGCTAAAGCACCTCAACATACCAAAGTTAGAAACCTAAACATACCAAAGTTTATAAAATTTTGGTGTTGGTACATCTGTTAAATGCACAAATCTTATGCTATGATGTTCCCATATTTCAGCCATTTTGTAACTGTCTTGGATATTGAAAAAGTTTAACTGCAAAGTTGCACATGGGTATTTACAAAATACAACTGTGTAAGTAAATCTGGTGAGCTCAAAATAAAAAATTGTGCAACAGAGACACGAGGAGGAAGAGGTCAGGAGACATACAGTGGGATTTTTCCCAGGGAATTTAAAAAAAGCAACCATCATAACCAGATTAAAATGTTTGTAAAATGTCCATCCCGTTTTTTTTTCTTCTTAAAAATGGCTCCACAAAAGAAGCAAAGAGCAACAAACACAAAGGAAAAAAATAACATGTTTTTTTGAGTAAGACCTACATACAATGAATTTCAAATCATGACTATAAGGTATTTAAAACCTTCTAGGATGTCAGTGGTGTGTGTCTGCATATGTGTGTGTACAAGTGTGTGTTTTAAGAAAGGTCCATAACGTGTCCAGGAAAGCTTTAGAGTCAGAGGAGCATGTACGTAGGGGTTGGGGAGGTATGAGGAAGAGTCTGGCCCATTCTCTACAGTCTTGGTTTCACCTTCACCGGTTTCCTCTTTACCTGAAAGACAGCAAAGTTTGGATTCAGTGTCAGACCTATCATCTCTTTGCTTTTTACCTGTCAGAGACTAACACACAATGACAACCTAACTGATGTAATCTGTATCTGTGGCTGGTTGCTTGAAGAATAAGATTTTTCTCTGAGAGGGAGTATGTAGGATCCATAGGATTTAGGGCATCTAGCAGTGACGACTGCAGATTGCAACCAGCTGAATGTTCTCCCATGTGCTGAGTGTGAACTCATGGTTGGAATTATATCAGTGTTCATTGCCTAGGAGGTTTAACAGGGGTCAAATTATCCACAGAGTTCTCTTCCTCTCCTCAATAAACAACAATCGGCTCATTAGAGGAAAGCTGCTAGATGGGCTGCTAGCACCTGCTAATGTGTGGTTTACCTTTTTCTCTGATAACTTATGATCCAAGTGCTCAGGAGGTTTTTACTGGGAGCTGAATTATCTGCAGAGGTCTCTGCTTCAAGGTCAAATATCCCTGGTGAATTAAACTGGTAAAAACACTGAATAAAGCAGTTTCATGTTGGGGGGGAGGGGGGGACACTTTTCCAATACTGCTCATCATGGAGGGGCTGCTAACTACAGTGGCAGATGTGAAAAAGTGAATGACCTTATCTTCAGCCAGTGTTTGGTTTGTCCGTTCTGGGCTACTGTAGAAACAACATGCCATATTCCATAGAGGAGGACACGCTGCCTATGTAGATATAAACTGCTCATTCAAAGGCAATGAAAAACACGATTCTTGTTTTCAGGTGATTGTATACTAAAGAAAATACTTATATTCCATTTCTGACAATATATCCCCCTTAATCCTACACACACTGGACCTTTACATCATTAGAGAAACTAAAATTACCCCCTTGCGGACACCCAAGATTAGTGTCACCAATTCAGTGACCAACCAAATGTCTCCCATTCTGTTCCTGAGTTATGACGCTAAGTAATGGCCAGAAAAATATTTTATGCAGAATATTATGATGTCACAGTGAAGATGACCTTTGACCTTTTGGATATATTAAGTTATCACTTCATCATTTCATCCTACTAGACATTTTGTGAAATTTTTGAGTTATGGCCAAAAACATGTTTTGTGAGGTCAAGCTGACCTTGACCTTTTGAACACCAAAATCTAATCAGTTTATCGTCGGGTCCAAGAGGACATTTGAAGAAAATTCCCCAAGGTGTTCTTGAGAGCTCGTGTTCAAGAAATTAAACACTGAACATACGATCAGACGAACAACCTGAAAACATAATGCCTCTGGCCATGGCTGTCACAAGCATAGAACCTTAAAAGAGAGAGTACATGTTAGCAGGTGCTGGGCAAGCAAGCTGTCTGCGTATAGTTGAACAGTGTTGGAGGAACACATCTGCAGCTGCTTACTTCTGTGTTTTTACTGGTTTTAATCACCTGGTCTGTTTATTTAGGAGAGGAAGAAACCTCTAAAGATAATTCAGCTCATGATAAAAACCTCCTGAGAAATGAAAACTAAAGGAAATCTAACCAGGAGTTCAAGCTTGGCACACAGAAATTTCAGCTGGTTGCAGTCTGATATCCTAAGCGCTAGATGCCACTAAATCCTACACATTGCTCCTTTAACAAATTTATTGTAGTTAGATGAGATATAAGACTTGGATAGTCTAGTGTGGCCCTGTAACAGGACACATCCTGGATTAAACCAACTCACTGCCAGCTCATGTTGGGCTCTTGTTGTTTGCCAGGGGGGAATTTCTTCCTTGGTACCTCCTCTCCTTGTAGACTTGGTATCTCCCTGGCTATGTGTGTTGGACCAGGCTGCAAAGCTGCTCTGCCTTTGTGTGAGGGGGTTACTCTCTCTGACCGTCCTGCCACAGATAACACCTTCTGGGCTGGACTCCAGCTCTATCTCAGTGTCACCCTCACTGCCCAGAAGGACGACAACTGTCCCTGCAGCTCTCCCTGTCTCTTCTCCAGGCTCCCACTTTCTCACTCTTTCATTCTCTGCTCACAAAAGGCCACCCAAAGAGAAAAAAAAATTGACATCTGACATCAGATTTCTGTACATCCTCAGGATTGGATTCATTGGCCATCCGTGAGACAGACACAAACTGGAAGGACAAAGTTAAATGCACCACTGTAAAGCATTTTGTAGTAAGTTTCTTATTTCATCATTTATTTGCCAAAGCTAGGATAAGCAAAGCTACTAAGGTAAATTCCATCTTGGAGCCTGTGTCCACGTAGCACATTTTTTATGAAATGATGAAATGAAGTTCTCCCCAGCACCTTGCCGCTGCTTTTGTGCCAAAGAAAAAAAAGCCATGTGGACACACTCCCTTATGTTACTTCTGCTGCAGCTTTCCTCCCCTTCTCTTCTCCTCTCTCACCTCTGTAAGTCAATCTGTCTCTTTGTCCCTTCGTCATTCTGCTGCTGCTGTTTTGACATCTTGATGTTGATTGACTCTGCCGATGGGTTGGAGTTGGGGTCAGCTGCTCTCTTCCTGCCTCTGCCAGCTCCACCTCCTGTCGGTGCTGCTGCTCCCTCTTTTTCAGCCACCGCAGGAGCAGCGGCAGCTGTTTTAGGTGGACGGCCACGTCGTTTGACAGGTGCTTCTGTCTCAGAATCTGGGGTCGCATTCTGAGATGGCTCCTCCTGAGAGGGAGAGAGAGAGAGAGAGAGAGAGAGAGAGAGAGAGAGAGAGAGAGAGACAGACAGACAGACAGTGAGGAGAGCTCAGTCAAGACAACCCCCACTTAACACTGCAGTATGTGTGGTTCCAGCTGACATCAGGTTGTCTTCTCTGAGCTTACCTTCTTCACCTCTTCAACCTTGATGACTGGGTTCTCGTTGTTTTCCTGCGCTCGGCTCTCTGATGACTCAGTGGCAGCATTGCTGTTACTACAAGACATATTTAAAAGTTGAGGCAAGTCGGATTCTTGTCAAGGTCTATGTGCCAGTGTGTGTGTGCGGTGTGTGTATCTGTACCTGTTCTTATTGATGGTTGAGGAGCTGAGTGGGGTGGAGTTGGTGCTGGTGTTACTGGCTGTGTCTGAGGCTGTGGGGGTCTTGGTGAAGATCCTCCTCCCTGGTACCGTCAGAGGCTTGTTCACAGCTCCCAACACTGGAGCTGGTTTAGGCTGCATCAAGAAAGGGCGGAGTTGTAGAGTGCAGTTTAAGGTATTTAGTAGGGCCATAATGGTACATGTATTTGTGTCGAACCGTTCAGTACGCGACTTTCGGTTCGGCACGACCCTGTACCGAATTACTGGGCGCAGGATATTATTTTATTTTATTTTGTTTTATTTTAATTCCGTTTTTGCGAGCCGAACCATTTAAAATATCTAGTTCCCCGACGGACATAATTGAGTGACGGACCGAGTCCAACCGTAAATCTCCGCCTTCACTTTGTGCAGCACATTCTCACATTTTGACAACATGGCAAGTGAGCCTGACGAACCTGAAGACCCACCCACAAACCTTAAGTCCTCCGTTTGGGAACACTTTGGTTTCAGGGTAAAATACGAAGATGGAAATAAATAAGTGGACAAGACAAAAGCAGTGTGCCGACACTGCAGAACAGCGGTCGGGTATGTACTTGGAAACACGTCTAACATGCTAATGCATCTAAAGCGACACCACCCGAGTTTGAACGTTAACCGGCACGACTAGAAAAAGCAATCTGGTGCAAACTACGATATCGCCGTTGTTTAAAAAGAAAGAGCATTTCCCTGACCATCGTGCTAAAGAAATAACCAACGCCACTGGAGTTGAGTAAATTGTTTAAGCTGCACTTTAGATATAAGCATGGTTTGTTTACTGCACTTTAACAAAGTGGGAAAGCTAAGTAAGTTCCTAGTAAAACTGAATCTGAGCAGGCTTTAAAGCTGACCAGCTGCACTATACTTTTTATTTTTATTGAGTAAAACTGTTAAAGCAGAAATTTATATTTATATTTTTCATTCAAAAAATGTGTTAAAAAAAACAGCAGGATTTTATTTTTCATTTTTATATTTCTATTTTCATTCAAACAATGTGAAAAAGCAGGATTTTATATATATTTGTTTCATTCAAAAATTGTGTAAAAAGAGTTAACTGCTGTGGTGGTATGTTTTAATAAGGTTACCAATAAGTAAAAGACATTTAATAGTTGTCTATTTTTTTCATTACTGTACTGAAAAAACAAAACAAAACACGAACCGTGACTTGTGTACCGTTACACCCCTAGTATTTAGCTGGTAAGCATCTGATAGTTTAGATTCCTTACAATTATGTTGTGTGTAGAAATTACAGTTCAGTGATTACAGTTCAATGCATCACTCAGTTATCTCTGCTCATCTTTGCTACATGTATATCTTGGACCTTTAAAGTCATTTGATGAGGGCTGATGACCTAAGCATTAATATAGTTACATGATATACTGATACTAGAAAGGTATCACAATATCCTGCCATTAAAAACAGTACAATAACCCATTTCATTAGTATTGGTACTAAAGAATGACAGTGTGTTAATAAGAGCCATATTTATGAGTTGCATTGCCGTGGATGTGCAACTGCAGCACTCTGCTTCTACTCCTAGTCCCTGCAGGCACAGTGGACTCGCCAACTTTTTTTCTTTATCACATATGCATGCTGCAGCTTTCATGGTGACAACAAGAGGCATGGCTGCAAATACGTGCGCTCCTGACGACCATCCATGGCTTGTAGAGAAAGCAGACGTGAGGAGCAATATGGCATAATTTCATTTACATAGTTACAATCAGGGCGAGTTCACAGACACCACAAAGTCTATCCATAAAAAAATCTTTAAACCTATGCAGACCAAAGTTACTAACACAGCCAAATTGGCAAAGCATCTCGCCAACAGACATGCTGACCAGTCGCAAAGAGCAACAATCAAAATCCTAATTTTGGTATCATGACAACACTGAACATTATACTCATATACTGAGAATATAATTATCTATATGCAGATGATTCTAAACTCACAATAATACAGGAAATCTTTTTCACCTTCACAGTTTAACAAAAAATGTCAAATTAATGTTTACCCCATCATCATGTGTTCTTTCAAGTTAAACCACAATCATAACAATGTCGAGCATTACAGCTTATAATGTGGCATTTACTGAGGGCATTCAAGCATCAAGTGTTTTGCATTTACCTTTCCAGTGAGCAGCATTTGTCTCATCTCTGTCGTAAGATACTCTTTATCATTTTTGAAGTCCTGTTGAAGGAAAATACAGAAAACTTTAAGTAAGCATAAACGGCAAAATCACGAAGCTCTTGATTTTGTTATTAATCTTTTAAGAGTGTGCCCATATCTATTTTCCACAGAGTGGATAAGTCAGTCTTAAGAAGAGTCTGAAATGCTTTATCTCCAAGAGGAGAGGAAACAGTCTAAGTACAGGTTTCATTTATGTTTCAGATGTTTGATATCTGTTTAAGTATGTGTGTGTGCACGCACATGTGTGTATTACCTTGTCCTGTACGAGGAAGAACTTGGAAGGTAGGACGGGGTCTTTGGGAAAGTCCAGGTGACATGCAGTGCTCTTGTTGGCGATCACGAAGAGAGCGACATCACAGACGATATACAGCTTCTGTAACCATGACAACATGAGACACACTGTTAAGATTGATTGATAAGGATAGGTGACTCGTCCCAAAGAGTTTTAAGCTTACTGTTTTTTCTGACTTGTTTTTAATTTACAAAGACTGCCTCCAACTGGAAACAAACTCCCCATAATAATTTTAAAATACATAAAATATATCTTATTATATTAAATATTCAATATATCATTATTATTTATTCAAAAACATTATGGACACAAACTGGATTTCCTCAAGACTATTCCTTCTCACTGTGTTGTTTCAAGTTATGCTAGCAGGATAACACACTGCTATTTTTGACACCTTTTACATGCTCACAATAAAGGTCATTCAAAAGGACATTGAAACTTGTAAGTCTCACCTCGCTGGATGAGTAACTTTTAATTGTGAACATTTTAGAGATGTGTGTGACTGTTTCTGATGCTTTTCTGTTGTTGCTTGTTTGCCATGACGTGTAAGCATGTGTATATATATATATATATATATATATATATGTATGTGTGTGTGTGTGTGTGTGTGTGTGTGTGTGCATACCTCATTGGCCTTTGCGTCGTCAGGACATTGTGCATCCTTAGTCTGTTTGATGTTCTCCACCATCTTCCTTAAAAAGGCATGACTGTTGTTCTCATTTTTGGTCATCAGCACTTCTAGCATGAACCACAGGCACCTACGCACAGAAGCACAATGAATACGGTGCATGCCACAGCTCCAGTCTGTGCCACTTGTACATTTTTAGTATTTAAATCAGAAAGAATATAAATTGTTCTTACAAATTTAGAAAAATAAGGACTTTTTAAAGACAAATTCTCAGCTGTGTAACCATAGTCAGGGATTTTATATGTCAACACTCACTCTTTGATGTCTTTGAGCTGTTCATATTCATGTGGTTTTGTGAAGTCTGGATCGTGGGCCAGCAGGTGGATCATATAGGGAACAACATACTCAGGTAGGAGGGAGACAAGTTTTTCTGTGGGCAGAAAAAATTAACTCATCACAGTGTCTATTAGTGTGTTTCTATCCATCTGTTTGAAATAATGCACAACAAAATATTGCTCAGGAAGGGTTTTCCACTTGGCTGAGGTAGAAAATTGGTGTAGAGACACAAATAAGATGCAACAAAGTGCAATTTAAACAGACTTAATAAATGATGGATAGGAAACATGTGAGTTAAACTTTCAATCTAGTTTCAGCTCCACTGAAGAGACTAAAAACTGCAGCAGATGAAAACATCAGATCAATGTGGAGTGATGAGGTGAGAGTAAACTACCTCAAATTAACACATAAAATAAACTTTAATGCCATATTTCTATCATGTTTTCCACATCCTTAATGACTGTCTAAGATTTGACTGGTATTCTTATAATTACGTCATCTCGCTGCACTCTTTTCTTTTGCAATGGTTTAATAGCACCCGATTGGAAAATGAGTGCCACAAACTGTTACATAAATTCACCCCACTCCTAATATTTACATAACAGTGGAGGCAGAGACAAGCATTCACATTTTCTTTGGCTGATATTCTGGAAATTCTGTTAAAACCTGCGCTGACTCTAGACAGAAACTTGCTGTTCAATAAATCCCACATTAAAAACTTCAAAGTTGTGTTCCCCAAAGTGATGGTGACGATGCAGTTTGTAATTATGGAGCACATCAAGTTTCAGCATGAAAACATCCACAGGATGAACACCGACCCTGAGCGAGTGGGTTTTGCTTGATGTACTCTCTGCGGACGGAAATGTTTTTGAGGAGGCACTGTCGGGCGTGTGCGCGGCGCTCCTTCACCGGGTCCTTGGCACACAGAGCGAAAACGGCGAGGTACTCCAGGGGCAGCAACAGTTTGACGAGTGCCAGGTGCAACTTCTGAGCAAAGATCTGACGAACCTGGTAGCACTCATCCTGTAAAAAGAAAGGAGCAGGCTTAATTCAAATTCAATTCACACAAGCGAGTAAAGAAGATTATTAGTGTATCGGCTAATGAGAATGTTTGCTTTGATTCATGTAGTTCACTGTGACTGTATCTAGTGACATGTGAAATGATATTTCATTGTGCACATATGCAGTACATCATGCATACTACAATGGGCATTTTTTCACAGCAGATGTTCTGACATATCATAGAAAGAAAAATACAGGAGTTTGACAAATTACATTAATGATAGCTTCATGCTGACAGTGAGCCGGTACACACAATACTAAGCTAAGCTAAATGGAATTCAGCCATCATTCATTTTCTAATATACACCTGTGCTTCTCCTACTGTTACGTGTCAAAATGTCTTCTGTTAAAAAGCCAATAAAAAGTTATGTAAAGGCCAGACTGACATTGATGACGAGACCGCAGAGCTGAAACTGTTCAGGTGTGATGATGTCATGGTAACAGGGCTCCTGGGCCAACTTCATAATGGCTCCACCTGCAGCCAGCCTCAGACGAGACATGTCTGACTTACTGTGAGGAGGCAGAAAATTAAAAAGAAAAACAAGACATAAACAAAGACATAAAAATATAAATCAGTTTACCACAGGTAGATCTGTTATCTGAAGTTAAAATAAATTATTTTATTTTAACAGCTGTACTGAGACCTTTGAGCCGTGAGTTACCTGATCTTCTTCTGCTCTGTGAGGTCTCCCTCGCTGACCAGCATGGCTGACAGCAGGCGCAGGGTGGAGTTTGCTGACTTGGATTGGTTGTTCTTCATTCCTAGTAACCAACGCACTAGCAGCTTGATGGCCTGCACCTGGGGAACCAGGAAGAGCATGAATAACTAGGAAAAAAGTCTTTACAACTTCTTTCAGTTTTTTCATTGACAGTTTTGCACCACTGCTATATAAACATCTCCCCATGCACAATTAACTTTATGCCTATGCCTTAAGCAGCCAGAGGCAGGGACGAGCAAGACCAGCCTCATCTGAACAACACAAGATAAGGGCATTCTGATTGATCGACCACTGATCATTATCAGCAGATATTTGTTCTAAATAATGTGATGGCCGATCATAAGAGCTGATCAGATGAAGCAAAACATGCAAGACAATTTCTCTATGTGAAGGTAAAATAGCTCCACTGGTCTGGCGGTTCTCACAAACTGTAGCTCACTCTGAACATTCACTGTTACATTCATGGTTTACTGCTAACCTGACATCCAGCTCACCTGCCTGTCTCGAGTCACAATATTGATTGAAACACTACATGTCAAATGTCACCCCTGCCTCCACTTGCAGGAGTGACTGTAATTGCTAGATATGGGTATGGATATTGGAAGCATTTTGTTAAACATAACTCAACATCTACAACTGTGTACAAATATGTATCTAAAGCCCTTCTCATGTCACCGGCCAACCTAATATCTTTTAGAAGCGCAAAATACAACTTGCACACTTTAGTGCTGCTGCTGGAAAAAAAAATTTTAAGGGCAACACTGCTGCAGTAAAATAAAAAAACTGAATTAACAGACTATAAATGACATGAAATAAATACCACAGAAGTGTTTGCCTCTTACCTTAGCTAGGACCTCAGGTGAAACTTCCTCGTCAGTGGTCCACAGCTTCCCATTCTTGTTTCCCACTGACTGAAGACAGAAAGGCACATCACAGTCACACTCTCACTCTTTTTCTTGACTTGGTATATTTGCTGAAATTTGTCATTTATAATCTGGCATTTTTGTAAAAATAAAAAAGGTGTCAAAGGTGTGCAAGTGTGTGTTGATTTCCACACACCCTGTCATTCATGAGCAAGTCCTTGACAATGAAGTTAGCTACAATGGACTTCATTGGTGAAGCAAACTGATCTGGGGCCAGCATAGAAATGTGGCCCAGGGACACGAGGGGAGTAATGAGCTGCTCTGGGACATCTGCATTCAGACTACGTGACAGAGGCTGGGGGTGGAGGGGGAAAGAAACAAGCAGTGTGAGTGCATCTGAACAAAGAAATGTCAGTTAAAGAGTACATTACATACAGGATAGATAAACAGTGGAGAAGAGAATTATGTAAACAGCAAGTTCAAAATGAATAAATACATTATTGTCTACTTGTAAAACAAAATGTATCCCTGAAAATCAGCGAATTAGGAAATGGTCACCTACCTCAAAAATCTGTGCGAGCTGCACCTCCTTATTGTTAAAGATGGCGTGGATACAGTGGACAGCCTGCTTGGCCTGGTGAGGTGTTCCCCGCTTAGCTTTCTGATGCAGGATGGGAATCAGAGTCCTGATGGAAACATAACAGACATTGGAAGGAGTCTCATAAAACAGATCGTTTCTTTTCATTCATCCAGATGTGGACCACATAGTGCCAGACATGTGGATGATTTGCCCGTAGATTCACAAAGCAACAGACTACTGTTTCATTGAAATCCTTTCTGTTAGAATTTATCATTAACACTTAAAAGTAAGAGTTAACATCTCTCTTACGATCGTATTTGCTGTAGCTCTGTCTCAATCTTCTGCCCTGTGTTTCTGAATATCTGGATGGCTGCCTCTGCCACTTTTTCATCCTCCATCTTCAAACACTGCAGCAGAGACTCGTAGGTTTCTGCCGAGTGGAACGCTGTGGGGTGGGTGAACGACAGAACCTACAGGAAATGAAACCAAGTAGATGTTGTTTACTATCCAACATTAAAAGCACAATCCATCCTTTAAGAGTGTGACAGTCTTTTGTGTGAGCAAGCAACCCGTCACTACTAATAACACACTCATTACATTTTACAACAGTATGCTGGGTCCATGCTCTTTACCTTGAGTAGCTCCAGGCCAGAGCGGATGGCGGTATCAGGGGTAACGCCCTCCTCATCGTCATCAGCTGTGCCCTCGATGGACTTGTTCAGCAGCTTCACCAGAGCACTAAAAGAAAACAAATGGACTATTATGACCCCTTTGGTAATATAGCTGAAACGTGTGTTACATGACAAACTGGAGCAAATGTAATTGAAATTGTCACACAGCCTAAATTAAGCATCTGAAGTCACTTAGTACGTGTGTTTCCCTTGTCATGGTGTTTTTCCATAAAGCGGAAAGGGTTAAACCTGTTCCCTGTCTAAGGCCTGCAGGTACACCTTACCACCACTAGGTGTCTCAGTGAATGAGAAAAGCCTGTTAATGGTATTGCACAATGACACAGAGACACGGGTAACATGAAGCTCCCTATCACTGAGACAGGCAGTGCTGCTCTGCCTCACTGTATTTGTGTACTGTACAAAAAAAAACACTTAAATCTGATGGAACAGGACTAACAATACAGTTTCATCTCTTTCAATTTGAATCAAAATGCACTCTTAACCTTTTCTAAATATTACTGGTATTAGAACTTAGACTTAAACATCTGCTGACATTTTTAGTATGTTGTGAAATTTGAAGAATAAATCCCAACTTTGTGTGTTGAACATGTCAGGAATGTTTCTGACCTGATGGCCTCAGAGTCGATGTGGACGGGGGCGATGCGCTCCAGTAGGAATTTAACCATCTCCAGGAATGGGTTAGTGGGCTGCTTGGGGAACGTCAGCTTCCGAGTGATTTCCCTCTGCGCACAGTACAAACAGCTTGAGGTTATCACCAACACTCATGGACTTATGCTTATAAATCTGCGCGTGCATTTACGCCAAGGTTTCTATTGTTAAATGTAGGACAACCTTACTAAAGTACCTTCATTCTTTGACCCTGAATGTGTGCTCTGATTACAGTTTCCTATTTCATTACCTAACATTCAAACATGAGTGTGACTTGTTAGCTGCAAATCAAACATGGTGGAGTGGTGTTCTCCGTAACTCTTTAATAATAATGTGATAGTTGATTAACACCATGAAGATAAAAACAAGAGTAGCAGTTGCATGGCTTGCTCTGTTAAAGTAAACTGAGACCAAGTTTTGATGAGGTGTTAATCAATGCTGTATGTGTAGAAGCTGTTCCTTTTATAGCATGGCATCATTTCCTGCTACTACAAAATTAAATTTTCATTTTTAAGTGACTGCACCTTGAAAATGTTGATAAAATTAACTATTTTCAGTGACTACCACAATTTCCTTCTCTAAAACATCACACCGAACAAAAATATAGTCTTAAAGGGATTTAAAGCTACAGTGTAAATACAGGCTAAAAAAACAAACAAACTCAAAGCACTGTTGTCTCGCTAAAGATAGAGAGTGAGTGTGAGTGTGTAATGCTAAATCAGGGTGTCTACAGGTATCAGACACTTTAACTTAATGCTCTTTAAGAACTTTTCAAGATAAATTTAAGGCCAACTTTAAGACTGATTTTTGGATACATACATATTTTTTTTTATTCAGGCATTGCAGTATGCATTGTTAGAACATATATAGTCCCATGCAGAGGTAGCTTTTATGTAGGAATATGTTTATTAGAGGGAGTTAAGTTAATCTACATTTTGCCAACAGCTAAGTCAAAGTATAAAAGTAAAAAACAGTATTAAGGTCAGTGGTAGGTTTAAGGATTTATAACATCAAAAACGAGGACCTTCACACAGAAGTAAATAAATTAATAAAAGGAAGGATACATTTAATTAGATGTTAGTGGCAATTAAGATCTTACAAATTCAAATTTAAAACTACTGAATTACTTAAAAGGCCAAATATTAAAAAAATGAATTAATGAGGTGTTAGACTTCTTAGAGGACCTGCAGACACCCTGTAAATGGATGAGTGTTTCTCTCACCACACAGATCTCAGCTTGTTTGCAGGAGCAGGTCGGGCTGATGAGCATCTCCAGCTGAACTCTGAGCTTCTCGTCCTCACCGAGAACCTGATTGAACTTCTTCATGAAGTCCTGGGCCTTTCCAGCGTCTGGCAGATTTTCTGTGAACATAAAGAAGAGCTTAATTAGGCTCACATTACGTGTAAAGAACCTTTACCATTTTGAAGAAATAACAAGGCAGGTGGATTGAAGGTGTACTGTATATATTTGTGCAGCTTCCGACTTACTGGCAATACTCATCAGCTTCCCGAACATGGCTGTGTTATTAGCCTCAGACTACCATGGGAAAGAGAGAGGAAAAAAGTTAAACATATTTCCATCCAAAAACACAGAGGAGATGGATAGTTTTGTATGTAAATGTGAGGATCAACACACCACTGGCAGCTTGTGGAGGTCAAGCAGCTCTTTGACGAGGCCTCTGAGCATGTTCTGACACTTCCACATCTCATTCAGAGCCCTGAGAGCAAACAATACACCAAAAGAGCAGAGAAGATGTCAGAGATGGCAAAAACAAAGGTGATGATCAATATGCTGTGCTTAAGATATGTACAGTATATGCTGGACTGTTAATGTGTTGTTTTCATATTGTTAGTGGCAGGGCTGGGCAATACTGGAAACTGGAAAAAAAATGCAAGTTTTTTGCTGTAACGTATCATTATGATGTAAATGTTACCTGCACAGTGTAATGGCAGTGATTCCCTTATATGCACTTAGCAGCACCGTTACACTGGAAAATGCCCACTGCTGCAATTTTTTTTTGTTTTTTTGCATGAGCAGAGGAGAGAAGAGACAAGGAAAGGAGCAGAGGGCTCCATCCTAAATCTTCACAAACGTAGTATTAATTTGTGCTACGGACACTTCATACCAAGGTCAATACACACACCTGTGAGGAAATCCAGAAACTTTGTGCTTAATTGATAACGTCAGCACAACCATTATAACAACAAGCACCAGGTAGATGTCAACAATGGAGCAAGCAATGCTAATCAAAGATTTTCCTATGCCAAAGTGAAAACACTTCTGCAACTTCACAGGAGTATCGCACAGTAACGTTACAGCAATCTATGGCTGTATTAGTTTGTGTATACAAACAGCTGTCCCAGTATGAGTATGTAGATTGATGCACATAATGTGGAACCAAATATCCACCCGGAATGTTTTAGCCATATGCTGTTAGCAACATGTGCTAAGGTTAGCACAACAAGTGGACTGGCGTGCAAGTCACTCATACTATGGTGGGCGCAGATCAAATTCTTGAGCTGGAACATTGCCTGCAGGTTCCCAGTCAGCCACAACAGCAACAGAGAGAGAAATGTGTATAAGATGTGTTTGCTGTGTCAGTGTTGCTCCACTGTTGTAGGGTCTATGAATGTAAGCACATGAACTATGGGAGCTCAGGGAACAGGTGGCAGTTCTGGACCGTAATTATACTGAAAATAAATTACATTTTTTTAACATGGTCCTAAGCCATAAATTCAAATTCATTAGAAAATGCAATCATCGCCCATCTCTAGTTTGTAGATACAGATTTAAGTTTGCTTGACACTGAGCAGTTTTGGATTTTCTCAATAAATGTATTCATGGCAAACATACATTAAAAGTTAGGGGTCAACGTATTCATGTGTACAATCCAAAAATGTGCTTTTGCTACGGAAGCGCAATATTGCAGGTTTACTGACTTGACAGCGTTAGTGTCCAGGCAGGCATACAGGTAGTACAGACACTTCATCTTCTCCTCTGTGTCAAGACTGTGAGGGACCATGTACTGAGCGAAGATCTTCTCCACTAATAACCTGAAGAACAAAGGTGAGTTTACGTGAATTATGCAAAAGGACAATAAAGTAAATGTACAAATATACTTGAATGCAGTAATGACATATACACTGACAAAGATCTGTACTAATATCTCTAGACTTCTGTACCATTCAGCATATTTCCTAATGTCAGTTAATCAAAGTCTCATAAAAGCATATTTCAAAGAAATGTATTATACAGAAGACACAAAGTACCTCAAGCATTCTGAATACTAGTAGGCGGTTTCTCCAAACATTTATGCTGTTTCTAATGGCAACCTCGCCTTAAGTGATGTTGACAAGGGCTCAACTGTCTGACACAGCTGCTTTGTTCTTTTCAACATTCACATATATGTCAGTGTATATGCTCACTTGTCGTCAATGCTGTTCTGATAGTAGATGTGCAGCAGTTTGTCTTTGATCCAGCTGATCTTCAGGGCAGACTCTTTACCGGCCTCATGGTGCAGACAGTATTTCTTATAAAGCTGAGCCAGGCCCATCATGGCCTCCTTACGCACACGCCACTGTAGGGGGAGAAAGCAGAGGGAGGAAAAACAGATCAGGACAACCGAATTATATTAAGATGAAGAAAGCAAATTTAAATTTATTGAGGTATACAAAAAAGCAACTTGGCATTGAGGGAAAGTCTTCTACTGTTTTGTTTTCAATTTAATGTGTAACAATTTGAATGAACAGGAGAAAGATTTCAAACGTGAAAGCTAAATCAAATAGCCACCTGCTTCCGTGACTATCTTAAACACCATTTGATTCATTTCCTACATGACTATCACAACATCTGCACTTCTGATGCAACACAAGTGACTGTGTATTTGTCTCACTCTCTTGTCTAATGTCCTTTCTCGTACGAAGCCCAACAGCTGGTCATTGACCAAGTTGAGGTCTTTCTTCCCGGCGTTGATGATGGTGACAATGACATCATGACGGATGGCTTCCTCTGGGTCGTGAGAACGCACCTTCAAATACTCTGATAGGGTGATAAAAAGAAACACATGTAACCACATTTGTGTTCAGGGAATAAATGTGAAAGAAAAGACAGAATTAAAGGGAAAAGTGAAGAAGACACATTGAGTCAGAAAACACAGACACACCTGTCAGGTCTCTGGCCAGGTCTGGGTGGTTCATGAGGCAGTGGCTGGCAAACTTTACACACTCTAGCCTGACTGGGACGTGGATGTCATTGAACCTGGAGAAAAAAAAAACCCATTATAGATAAGGACATTAACATCACACTCTGAGAGAGCAGGTAAGCGAGCCAGTGAGTGACTTAGGAAATACAAATCAGGAGGAATATGATTAATTTGCACAAGGTCTTCTTCAGCATGCCGTGTCAATTCAGACAACTCACCTCAGCTGATCCTCCTTTAACCAACTGTGCTATGATTTACAGAATTCAGAAGTTTTCCTTACTGAGCCGCGCTTCCTTTCAAAGTTTAATTTCATCTCAACCTCCTCATAGGAGTACAGATCAGCTTCCTGTGTTCATTTTTCAATGTCAATTGAAAATCTGTGTACTTCACTGTGTACCATCTAACTCTTAATTTAACTTAAGAAAGTGGTCGCTTAAATCAGCAAACCAGATCCTTACAACCACCAGCCTAAATGCTCCGGCTTCATGAGTTCATCAACCATTGAAAAAGATAACAAGGGAGTAATTTCACTACAACCTTTTTATATATCTTTAGAAATGTCTTTTGTCTGTTCTACGGCAAATTATACCCCTTTCCTCTTAATAACCCCCCCTTGGTTGAACTGGATCTGCATAAGGAATCAATTTGTGTGTGTGTGTGTGTGTGTGTGTGTGTGTGTGTGTCTACTTGTTCATGTAACTCACCGTCCTAAGAAGCACTGCCACAGTGGTCTGTTCTGTGAGGCTAGCTCTGAGTCTTTGGCCCCAAACAACTTAGCTAGCAACCGTACAACAGCTAGACGCTCCTCGCCATCATTGCTCTGCGAAAACAAAACACAGAAATACAAGTTGCCTTTTTGAGGCTGTCTTTCAAAGTCATAATAGATTTACTCCTGCTAAAACAACAACAGTGAGACAAACTATCCAGAACCTGCACAACCTGTAGTACCTTTGCATACAGAGCTGGGGAGCTTCAACAGAAAAAAAAACATACAAACTGACCCATATTCATACTTGTTTACAGTCTGTGGTACACACACGCACCTACACTGGAGCAGAAACATGCAGGTTAGGTTGACTGATGACACTAAATTGCCTGTAGATGTGAATGTAACCATGAATGTTTGTCAATTTTTTATGAGCCCTGTGAAGGACCACAAACCTTTTCAGAGTGTACCTGCCTCTAATCAAATGTCCCCCGCCCCATGGATAAGTGAATATAATCTATGGATAAATTTATTGTAGCATAAGTCTGTGAGTCTCACTAACAATTTGCCCTAGCCACATGACAAAGGTTGCTCTTAAAAAATACCAACAACAACAACAACAACAACAAAAAAACATGTTTTGTTTATGTTCCTGTATTTACTGTTTAAAAGCGCAAGTGTCCTGGGTTGCCTGGGTAAAGGTTGCTTCACCAAGATAACACAGGATGGGCATTATCTGACACTACTGAGAGGTAAAACTGACTCACAGAGAAACATACCGTGCTTAAACTTTAGATTTTGTCAGTTTGTCAATTAATACTGCTCTACAACTGATTCAACAATCACAATACAAAGTTACATCACTCATAAATCTGACATTATCTACACTCTGAATAATGTTAATCTTTTGAGCACAGCATGACGATGATGCTGACTGTGTGTGTGTGTGTGTGTGTGTGTGTGTGCGTGTGCGCGTGTGTGTGTTGTGTTAACCTTAAGTTTGAATTCCAGCTGTGGCATGACAGAGGTAAGCAGCATAGGGTCGATGGCAAACAGTTCCTGGATGAGGTCAAAGACGTGCTCCGATAAATCGCTGACTGAGGACTTGCCCATCACTAAAACCTGATTGAAGAACTGAGGAAGAAGAAAAAATAACACTGTGTGAGACAAAATACTTTATTAAACAAGATGTACTGTAGATACAGACAGCAGTTTACGTAATGAGTCTGAGGACAAGAGTTAAGAAAAAAACAACACGGGCAAACTGAAAATGAATGAGAGAGGCTGCTTCTTACGTTTGCAATGCATGTCTCGATGGTCTGGACGGTCTTCTTCAGCAGAGTCTTGGCAAGATCGTACGCTTGCTTGTTCAGATTCTGTTCCGAGGGAAGATAAACACTGATTAGTTAGTTTAACTGACAGCGAACATCTTATTCAAACATTCACTGATACACAAAATATATTAAGCTTGTGGTTGACAAATATGCAAGGCTCACTGTTGTCATTTTTGACAGATTAACAGAAATTCAGAAGGGAAAAAAACAAAGAAAAAACAAAAAGAAAAAGATGTTGTTGCACCAAAAGACCCACTTCATTATTGTTCAGAGTAATAAGGCTCAGAATAGGTTTTCATTACTAAAGACAAAAGAGGAAAATGCGAGAAATGTCAAAGAAGCTGCGAATGGTCCACCCAAGTCTCACTAAGTTACTCAAGAAATAATAAACAATAAACAGTGTTTGTGCTGCAAATGGTTTTATAATAGGATTTTAATCCACAGTTTTGAAAAATGACAACATGTTTCATAATTATGTCTGTAGATCTATCTAAACCACACTAAATAAACAGATATACATGACAGTATAATAAGATAATACATAAAATGGTGTTTGTGTGTGTCCCACCTTGTGTGCGGGGATGAGGTTTATGAGGATGGTATCCAGCAGCTCCTGTGTGACTCCGTCGCCCTCCATGATGATGGAGCTCATCAGGTCCATCATGTGCATCTGCACTTTCTGGTTATGGCTGTTACTGTGGAGGAAGGAAGAAATATATTAAAGGAAAACTGAAACAATAATAATATAAAGCAAAGAGTGAATATTCACTGTAACCCCATCTTGACCTGGATCATGGTGACTGTGATTTTATCAGTCTGCATGTTTTTAAGTAAGCAGAACTTGTTAAAAAGGTAGTAAAAATGGAGCTTATTTATACATGTGTCAGATTTAAAGGCTACCAGTAGGACTTTGCTGAAATGTAGAAAGAGTCTGATATTAGTGTTATTTCAGAATGTGGAGAAAAAACAGTGTTATAAGAAATGAAGAGTATTCACACAAAAGGACACATTAGCAGATAACAACTGCCTTACTTGATGACAGAGAAGAGTGTTTTGAAAAGCTGGATGAAGATCTCGTTGCAGTCCTCCAGTTCAAAGCATATGTTGTACGACTTCACCCACGCCAGGTTCTAGAGAAACATATAACGACGCGTTACTCCTTCAATTCAATATTGATTTAATTAGAGATATTTCAGTTCAAATACAACTTTTGTTTGAATATGAATTGATATTAGGATTCAAATTAAATACAGTATAGTATAACTACATGGTTCTAGAGCAGCGGCAGCAACAATGTTTATGACAGCAAAGCCACTCAATAATATCCCACTGGAAATCAATCTAAAATGTCAGTAAAATAAATCATTCCTGACATCAAAACACTGAGTGAAATTTAGACAGAATGAAGAACACAGACATCAGTCATTCCTGCTGTCGTCTTTGTGCCTCCCTCTGCTGCTGAGGTTGGTTCATTCTCTGTAGGTACCACTGCTAAATCTTGTGATATGTGGCAAACTAAGCTCAACAGTTACCATACGCATACAGACAGCTTTGGTTTCAGCTTGCTTGTTACAAATCACTATTAACCAAATTAGTGCCGTGTGCTTGTGTAAAACATACAGGCGGTGGATGAGAGACTGCGGACAGAGCAGATTAAAATTTCGCTCATCTACTTGCGTTTTATAGCATTTTTAGTGATGAGCATGGTCATCAACTCGATTAATCTACATTTCACCCATTCATTTCACTGTCTCTACCTCAGCCTCTTTACTGTTCACTCTGTCTGTCTGTGTGTGTGTGTGTGTGTGTGTGTGTGTGTGTGTGTGTGTGTGTGAGGAGCCCTCACACAGAGATACTGCAGTGTGATGATAAATTTCACCAAAGCGTTTAAAAGTACAGTTAAAAGAACCGGTAACATCAAAGTAGCTTATCAATACTACGACCTTTAATGAGTTAGCACTGGGCCCGTTTAATAGCAGCAAGATTAATGGGGTTAAAGCTTCATGCATCTGCAGGAAAAGGCATTTATGAGAAGACTGATCTCAGATTTTGTGAATTGATATCCGGTCATTCAGACGAAGATCGATTTGAATCCATTTTTAACCCAGCCCTATGCCTTACCTCCAGCAGGTAGAAGTATCTGTTGAACTGAGGGCTCTTAGTGTCTTCCAGTCCCTTCAGTTGTCTAGTGATGAACAGGAAGATGTCCTGGAGACAAGACAGGAAAACACTTGAGTTAATTGTTTTTATGCTTGTGTTGGTGAGTGTTCAAAAAAAGAAAATAAGTTTCCTGGCAAGCTCTCAACACAGCAGATTTGATCAGAGCAAGCAGAGACAAAATTAATCATGATGGTGTGCAATGTCAGCCAACGTTTACCTCAAGGTAACGTTAAAAGTCCCACAGTGATGTTGAAACGCTTGTTAGATCTAGATGGCACTTTGATGTGGTAATTCTGCTGCAAACTTACAAACGTCTCTTAATGCACATTTTACTGTTCAAAGTTCAGACCGAAATTCTACAGTAAAACCATTTTTTGATCAGTTTCTTCATGGGACTGCCAAAAGATGAGCCCGAATCAACTGAATACTGATGACTTCATTCAGACATTCAGGGCCCTTCTTCCCAGATATATCATGTACACTTATATAACATTATTTTATAACACTATACAATTACTTTTTCTTATGTGTTGCTCGTGTCCTTGTTAATTAACTACAGCTCATTAAAATTTGCATTAAATCTCATTTCAGCTGATGTAAGGAACAAAACTGAAAAGTTTGACTGCTATTGAAAAACTATTCCCTTGAGGATAGTGCTTAGCTGTTTGATGTAGGATTGCATACAGTTATCCAGCGACAGTTCCAAACCTTGAGTTTGTCGTGGGAGGTGTAGGGGGCCTCTGGAGCATAGATCCTGAAGATGTCAGCCAGACAGCAGGCCACCAGTAACCTTACATCTTTATTGGGGTTCCTGAGGAAGAACTCTGAGGCGAGGTGGAGTGCCAGGCCGAGATACTGCTGCTTCTCCTCTTCGGAGTCTTGGTCCATGTCCATGTAAGTTTTCACCACCATCTGTCAAACAGGGTGACAAAGGAGCAGGGTTAGAAATTAAGCATCTTGGGCAGGTCACAATTAAGAGACGTAAAGCAATTTGAATGTTTAAAAGCTCTGCATTAGGAAAACATGGCTGTATCACTGCTTTTTAACTACTGCCATTCTTTCCCCCCAATTTTAAAATTGATTTTCTAAATGCCTGAATCAATATAATTCAACTGTGGAGATGGAAATAAGGTGCTGATTTTATTGCAGTAATCTCTGATTAAGGTGACACCATGTCTGTTTCAAGAAAAACAAATCTAAAGCAAGAAAGCAGAAGATGGCGGACAGTAGAAGACACAGACCTTCAGCTGCTTGTATAGCAACTGCAATTCCGCCAGCTTAGTGCAAACTCCCCACCGAATCAGCAAACTTTCTGTTGCTGCTGTTACACAGATTAGACCTAGTGCACTGTGACCCCTGGCGCTGAGGTTTGAGCTTGATGAATACAAGTTACCTCTACTCCAGAGTTAACGCCCACTCTCCCCCTATGAATCTCCTAGCGGCAGAGAGTATGGACTGCAGGTTGCAGGAGCAGGCTAAATCTTGTCTCATTTGTGGTTCGATAAACAGAGTGAAAGAGAGAGAGAGCAGGGTGAGGGACTAAGCAAAGCAAAGCAAATCAAATCAATTTACACAAGACGCAGCGCTGAGTGCCTAGGATGGCTCACGATCTGCAGTGACAGTTTTGACATCTGGTCTATTTTTACCGTGAGTGAAATCTGGCAAGAAAACACACTGCTAATCTATTTTAAACGGTATAGAGAATATATTAGATGTAATATAAATGATGTCACTATGACAAATAATAAAATATGCAACCCATGCTTCCACATATTTGTCAGTTGTGTCCAAACAGAATGAGAGTAATGAGCAGAGCCATACACTCTCTTTCTCGCACGGACGGACGCACACACATATTCATTCTATTGTACATGTATGTTTTACTAAGTGAGTGAAGTTTATTTAGTATAACACCTTTTACAGGGCAAAGTCACAATTCTATTGCAACTATGCAGTGTATGATGCTGCTGAAATAAAAGTCAGAAAGAGTGCTTTGTTTTTTGAAATGTGTCTCATGATAGACACACTATAGAAGTGTGTGACTGAACTTCTTTAACCGTGCTCTAGTGTTAAAAATGGCAATAAATCGTAATATTGGTTTGCAATATTTTTTGAATCGCAATACCTATCTACAATTACTGCCTTGGGGTTGTATACCTCCACTAACCAGCCAAGTTGCAGTTAGAGTTTACATCCATGTCTGACCAGTGTGATGTGTAGCCATGACAACTGACAATGCTTCAAATGGGCTATGGATGTTGTTGCAAAGTCTTTACATATTCTAAAATATAAATGCCTCACACACATCTTCAACCTGGCAGCACAGAAGATCTATACAATCAATAGAGTTTCAAGGTTGACACCCAAGATTAGTGTCCCCAATTAAGTATCCAACCACACGTCTCTCCTTCTGTTCCTGAGTTATGATGTTGAGTATAGGGCTGCAACTAACGATTATTTTCATCGTTGACTAATCTGTCGATTATTTCTTCGATTAGTCGACTAGTCATTTTATCGAAAAATGTGTTAAAATGTTGAAAAATGTCGGTCTGTCTCTCCCAAACCCCAAAATTATGTTATCTAATGTCTTGTTTCATACTCACGCCAAAGGGTTTTAGTTCACCGTCATGGGAAAGCGTGTAAAGCTGCCAATATCTGAGTGTAAGAAGCTGCAATAAGAGTATTTTGGGGGTACTTTTATAGTACTTTTCTATGAAAATTGCTCAAACCAATTAGTAGACTACTAAAATAGCCACTGATTATTTTAATAGTCGATTAGTCATCGATTAGTCGAGTGTGAAAATTAGTGTGAAAAACTTCAGAGGCAACTGTCACTGGGACGAACGGAGCGCCAACTTGGAACACAGAATCAAATTTCTTTTTAAATCTAGCCATGGTTTTAATGGGATGCAATTACTTGTTTTAGACAGTGATTTACCAAGAGCAAATTAGGAGGGAACACCATGAAGTTGGATATGAAATTATTGGCCTGTCAGACCATCTATGCTGTAATGGCTGCTATAAGGACAGATGAGAGCAGTGAGATTCAACCACACAGTACTTGTGTGATCAGACAATTAAAACTAACAGCTCAATGAGCCTAAAGCAACATAGAGCTTCCCTTCATCATTTAAGAATTATTGAATTCAGTGACAATGAGCTTGAGTTTTATATACATTCAAAGCATCTATAGGCACAATGCAAGGTAAGAAACACATTCCCTTCGCTAATTGGGGCGGCAGTAGCTCAGTCCATAGGGACTTGGGTTGGGAACCGGAAGGTCGTCTGTTCAAGTCCCCGTCCAGACCAAAATATGGAGCGTGGACTGGTAGCTGGAGAGGTGCCAGTTCGTCTCCTGGGCACTGCCGAGGTGCCCCTGAGCAAGGCACCGAACCCCCCAATCGCTCGAAGCGCTTGTCATGGGCAGCCCACTCTGACACCTCTCCACTTAGTGTATGTATAGGCCCAGTTTGTGCATGTGTGTGTTTGGACCTGTGTGTAACTGACAAACAGAGTGAAAAATTTAATTTCCCCTCGGGGATTAATAAAGTATATAAAATTAAAAAATTCAATTAAAATTTAAAAAATTGTGAGACGGTTTGTGACTTTTAGAGAGAGACATCACTGAAATAAAAAGGACTTTAACAGAAGCTCTCACACCCTTTTTTGTTTGTTCTTGCTGAAAACAACTGTTTACTAGTTCTTATGAGGGTTGCCTTTTAATTTCCCTTTGATCATTTGGATTACATCATAGCAAACAAACATTTATTAAAGAGTTTTTTTGGTTTAAACATGAACACTGTGGTCTCAAGAGATTGTATGTACTTCAATCTTATCAAACATCTCAGTTCTTAGGAGCAGGCTCTGGGACACCATGCTTGAGTTTAAACTACCACTTCCTCTACGAGAGTGACGTGTGACTGTGTGTGTGTATATATATATATGAGAGAGAGGTGAAGCAGAGCAGTGGAGCTCACTATACAGCCAGGCAGTCAGCAGGGGTGGGGGATGGGCCAACAGCTCCAGCAGACTGCAGAGCACAACACTCACTCCTACACACAGATACACACACACACAGTCACTCCAACCCTCCGCCAAGCTTAGCTGAAATAGTCACAACCCAGCCGGTGAAGGCTCTCCACACAGAGACGAGCGTGTGGGCCTGTTGAGCTGTGGGGTGTGTGTGTGTGTTTCTATGCACCTTAAATGCATTGTAGTTTATTTGGATTTTGTCTCAGTGTGAAAATATATGATGTTTTCAAATGGCTGCTGATGCAAAGACACTCCACAAGAGTTGGGAGTGTTTCAGCTTAATGTTTAACCAAAATGAAGCCACAATTTATCCCTGTAATTGATGCAAGCAGCTCTGATAACATCTAACCGTAAGCAGACAGCCATTCCCTAACCCTGGGTGAAGTCAAACATGGCCTTGTTACCCCTATTCCTTAATATCATTCAAACAGGTTAGCCTGGGTACTGAACGCTTCGGCTGTGTTCAAACAGACAACACCGCACGGATTATTAAAAAAAGAAAACAATCCAGGTCCTCATTCATTTCAATGTGACCAGCACTATGGAGTACTCATGTCTGTATGTTGGATATGGAGCTTGTGCCAGTAGCAGCTAGCTTAGCTCCTCACAAAGACTGGAAACAGGGGTAAACAGCTAGCCTGGCTCTGTCCAAAGGTCACAAAATACACCTGTAAAGTTAACTGATTAACACATAAAATCTTGCTTCTTTAAAAGGCTCTGTATGCAACATTGAGAGCATTAATATAGCAGCACACCACTACTTGTATGTATGTATGTATGTATGTATGTATGCATGTAAATGTGAGTAAAAAAGACAGAGTAATGGCATCCTGAGCAAAAAAATGTAGTCATGCTCCGTATGTGTGTGTTGTAACCACAGCTTATTTGTCGTTTGTTGAGGTAAGCCTGCCCAGCAGTGTGTGCATGTTAGTGCATGTGTGTATCCCACGGGCAAGCACATAGCTGCCAATTTGGACTGCGCTCATACACCAGTTACTGCTGATAACTGGAAGGCGTCATCCCAGTAGCGTAGTCCCCACTCTCCAGTTCCCCCCTGGTTAACAACATTAGCTCTGTCAGCACTGTTGCTGTTGTTTTGCCCTGTTTATGGAGTTTGCATCGTGAGCAGCTCACACCCGGCTCAGCCACCTCCATGATAAGAGCCGTGTCCTGACATTTCATATGTTCTGATTTTTACAAAAAACCCCTATAATCATACAAAAACCAAAGGGTAAAAATGACAAATCGCAGTTTTATAGGGGGTTACACAGAGAATTATTCCTTGGCCAGGGGGAGTCCCTTCTTGAAGTCTCAGCCGGTTGCCTGGTAACCTTGCGGTGATGACAAGACTTAATACGACTCTTGCTTCATTTTAACATATTTGCCATACAGACATGATGATGGTCTGGATCGTCTCATCCAACTTTAGGCATGAGCAAAGGCATTTCTAAAATGTTGAACTGGTCTTGTAGCTTAAGGGACCATTTTCCCTCTGAGAAATAAATGTGGTTTGAAACATTTACTCTACAAAACAGTCTGATCAAGCAGATGTTGTTTCCCGATTCATCATCCTGCCTTCTGTTTCTGTACACAGTGTTTTTCTTTGATAGACCAAAGAGCACATGACCAGTCTGTGCTGGTGAAAATACTTTGCCATTGGGTAGGCTCAGTTGGCGTTTCCCTTTTCAAACTATAAACACCCTACTTGGTCTATTTCACCAGCAATGTGAGCTCTGACGATGGCTAGTAATGCCTGAATAATCTGTATAATTACATAATTTGCATTTGGGGAGGTAGTGACTCAGTTACTCACTATACGCTACTATCACGATCCATGACCCACAACAGCCATTTCATTACCAAGCACACAAGCAATTCTATAAAACCCAATATATGCCAAGTCATGAGGACAGTTCTCCAAATAGCATGAATCAGCATCTTCCTCTCTTTATCCACTGCATTATTAAGTGCTTTCATTTTTTAAGAACTCTGAAACCAACGGAAGACTTTTAAAAAATGGCACGAAGCTGAAACCTTTCAACACTCGCAGCTAATGTTCAGTAGCACAGTCATTAGTGTTTCCCAATAGGGGTGGAATTCTCACAAATCAATCCAATTCTAATTATTTGGGTCAGGATTCAAATCTCAATTCAGAACTAATTTTGCACTGAATCAATAGAAGAGCACTATTTTTAGAGCTCCTGATCGACCGTTAGCTAGCAGTAAAGCTAAATGGTCTTGATCAAGGTCGCAGTCAGTGGGTTTTCAATTGAAACAGACTGTTCTGCCAACATTAGTCTGTGGGTGACGGGGTACAAACAATTCACAGTCACCTTCCAAAGCTGTTTATTAAGTTGGTATATCTTTGAAATGAGCGCAAAGACTTGCCTTGTTTTGAGGACGAGATAGTATCTCTGTTATTAGTGCATTTGTAAATTGCTCACAACACAGAAATAAAATGATGTTTATTATATTTATTTTTATGGTCCACAATCACAGAGGATAAGAATTGAGATTCTCCTGTGAATATATTTTTACCCATCCTAACTTCCCTATCATGAAGATTAGGTGGGCCCACTAATAATCTTCACAACCTAATGACGAACCACCATTGATAATCAGACACTTTGCAGTTTTTTTACTTGGGCCGACTTTCCTGAAAAAATTCCTTCAGTGGCTGTTAGGGCGCATATTACTTAAATGTTATTGCGGTTATTTTGCCCCAAATGCAACATAGCGCATATTTAACTTTCAACTAAAAAAACAAACAAATAACAGGAACAAATACTTTCTGTAATAAAGTATGTATATACTACAAAATGTTTTCTAGAGAGTAGTCTGTTGCACTGTTTATTTCTTTTTATTAAAAGGGAAACACCATCTAAATTATAAATTCCAATGTTATTTCCATGGCATGAGGTAGTTTAATCAGTATTTGCAAACATGGACCACTCACTCTCAAAGCCAGAAACCAGAGAAGTCTCAAACTTGAGATGTCATAGAGTATAAAGTCTGGAGCTGCTCCACAGACAATAAATGGGAGCCTGATTTTGTGGACCCACACACTGTTTGTTTGTTTTATTTCATAGCCAAGTGAGCTTTATTCTATTGTAGTGTTCTCAGTGTCATCTAGAACATATTTCACCATTCATTGTCTATGGAGCAGCCCCAGACTTTATACTCTATGACAACACAAATATGAATTTTAACACAGTCTAGATTTGGAAAAGAGTTAGTCACAATAACGACTATTTTTTAACTGTCAGACCATAAGAAAAACGTGAATTTTGGAAATGGGTGTAATTCCCCTTAAGTCAACAAAAATTACGCTCTGTATTAAGCTTAGCTTTTTATATGATTGCATCCAGTAGATTTTTGACCAAAAACACATTAAATTCCATGAGTTGACTTATAATCACAAGATAAAATATCTTATTGTACATTTAATTACTCTTTATTGCCTTGCTAACACAGACTTAGGTTGTTGGCAACTTCTACACATTCAGACTTCTGCAACAAAGTACAGTTGGGCAATATGTTAAAATCTTTCAAGCCGCCACTGTCAGCCCAACAACCAGCAAATGCCAATATATTTGCACGTGTGTGTCTGTGTGTGCACCGATAAGCTATGTATTTTTGTATTGAGCTAAGACGTAACATTCTAGTAACTTCTCATGTAATATTCAGATAAAAGAATATGTCTTAACTGTGACCAGCCTGGTGCTATATGGGCTCCCTCCTACTTGACGGACCACCGATATTGGACCAATCTACAGAATGATTATAATAGTGGCTGACTGTGGAGGAAGGTGACTGAATAACTTTTATATCAACCTTATAAATAAGCTGTCTTTTGGCTAATAGCTCTGCTGGCAGTACAACACCAATCTTAAATCTCTGCCATCAATTGGCTTGGTTACCGCACATGCAATTAGTGTCAGCCTTTCAAACTCTCAGCAGTATGCAGCAGAGGTTAAATGGATCTGTAAACATCTGTCTTGCACAGTCAACAACCTGCCATTCAGCACATTTGTCCAGCTTGCCAAGGCCAAGGATTGTGTGCTTTATGATCACAATGCTACTCTACTAACAGTTCTAGGATGTCAGGGAACCATTTCACTACTGTAGCAAACAAGCTAATGTGATTAAGAAGATCCCTGTAAATGCAGATGCACAAATGCTGTGGATTTAACGTTTAGGGTAAAGGGAAGGGTGGCTATCAGAATGCAGGGTAAGAATGTTTAAAGGAATAGTTCCGATTTTCTAAAGTATGGTTGTATGGGGTACTCATCCATAGACAGTAAATTACATACAGTAGATGTCAGTCAGCATGCCCCCAGTTTGGAGAAGAGCAATGGGATCCGACATTGAGGCTAAGCACTGTACTGCTGTGGAGGGGTTAGACACCTAAAGAAATCAACATTAGTTTAAGAGCACACTATATTAAGGATATTTCCACTGCTTTACCTTACCATCAGCCAGTAATTTCCAACAACAAAGTGAAAACATTGTGGCACTCTCTTTTAAGCCAGACTCCATTGAGAAATACAGTGATTTAACATTGCTGAACAAAGGACCCGCTGATTTACCACTGCCTTAAACAGATTTTTGTTTTGTTGTTTTGTGACTTTGGCATTTGAGAGGGTTAGTTTGGATTCACCAAAGTCATACAATAGCACAAAATAACTAACGTATCAAAGCAGTGGTAGACCAGCAACTCCTGTGTTCAGCAAGCTAAAATGAATGATTTTGTCAATGGAGTCTGGTAGCTTTCACGAGAGCATAGAGGGGGAACTGAAGCTGTTAATGGCTTCCCAGGCAGAACCAGCTATCTGGCAGAAAGATAAAACAGTGAAAATAATATCAACATGGTGTACACTAAAGCTGATATTGATTGTTCTTTTGGTGGCTAAACACCTTCCCGCCCCCTCACCCCCTCCATAGCAGTACATTGATTAGCTTCTGTGTCGGACCCCAGCCTGCTTCTTAAAACTGGAGATGTGCCGACTGACAATGACTGGATGAAATACACTATCTATGGATAAGTACTCAATTTTTAGCAGGTGTCAGCTCATTGTTTGGCTGCACCAGCTTAACTGTCTTGGTTGATTTACACTGTTCTCATAGTGTCATTTTTGGCAGCAGTGTTTTTTGTAAATGTTTACAGCCAGTGTACACTGAACAAAACAGCAGACAGACACAGTGACTAGCTGGAGAACATAGTGGAGCATCTAGCAACAAAAGAGCCAGCTATTTCCCTCAGGAAATGGTGGAGACCAAAACAGAGCCTGACACTTGATTCCAAATAAATGATGATGTTGCTCCATAACTGCCAGATGTGTAAATAAGCAAATGTTTACTAACACATAAACTTAAAAAAAACCCACAACTTATTTCTGCTACAGCCAAGTACCCGAAAAACTGGTTAAATATAGTAGTATGATACATGTATACAAAATGATATGTGATGTAATTCAGTACTTCTTTGAAAAAGAAATCCAAACATGAGTCACTCATATGTTCCCTTGAAGGAAAAACAGCTTCAATGAGGAATGTTGTTTTTTCTTGTGTTGACATTTAGGGATCATCACAGTTTTCAGGGGATATGGTGTAATGCTGATAAACTCGGAGACTTTAATACTTCTGAACTATAGTATTTCCAGTACTATATCCCATAAGATCAACAATGTCATAACACTCTGAATCTGGTAGTAATTACATTAGATTAGTTAACAGACAACAAAAACAGGGGATTGGGAAAACAGTCTGCCAATAGAGAAAGGCCTCTTACAATATACATCAGTTTATAAAGTTAGGAGGGTTTTGGCACTGTGCCAGAGGCTGGACACTGATAAATGAGGTTAGGGTTTGCAGAAAATGTATCTTGACAGCAAGAATCCCCATCATCATACCTTCAGTCGTTTGACCACCTCATCGTTGCTGATTTTGTCCGTAATCTCCTTCACTCCGGGTGGATAGATGATCTTTCCGTCCCCCGCCGGTTTCTGCTGTTGCGGGAACTCCATGCTTGTTGGTGTATGGTCCACACGGTCTTCTACTGGCCTCTATGGGTCAGAAAACAAAAGTTCAACACAACCATGCTACCGCACTTATCAAAACCTTGTTATAAGCATCATTCTTATTTGCCAATCATTAATCTTGCCCACTAAAATTGACAGCACCGTACCTGTATATTAAACGATATTCTGATCCAGCAAAGTTTTCAGACAGAAAGACAACATTCAACCAGCATTGTGCATATCATTAGCTTGTATGCTAAAATACCCTCAGCTAAACATCAGCTCCATATTTTCCGTAAATTTCTCTTGAAACATGGTATCGCTAGGTAAACAAGCTCAATTCCTATTACGGTACCCTTGTGGCTATTTAAACCGCTAAGTTGTTAGAAAACACTTTAAAACACCACGAGAGCAGCCGGTGTATGTCTACTGTCATACAGGTTATCAAATTAGCTAGCTAGCTAGTTGCAGTGCAAACATCAATGGCTAGCGGCTAGCATTTTGCGGGAGGGAAGTAAAGCTAGCAGCGAGCGGCTAATGCACGTTAGCCGTGCCTGCTATCTGGTTAGCCTACTTTGCTAGCTTAGGCCGCAAACTATTGAGGTACCCATCACATCTCCAGCTACAGACAATCACAGAGGAAGTAAAGTATCCTATCATTGCTGCTTAAAATAGCGATGCTCGTGGTCAGTTCCTGTGGTTTACAACAAATGCAACTACTTTGTGAAGTTTAAAATCAAGCTAATTTACTTGTTACTATCTTTTTTCAACTTCAACGCATCGCTCCGCACTGCCGCTAGTTTACAGGCGAAGAAGGGCTGCTACCGTCGCCCTGAGCCCTCCTCTCTCACCACCAACTTGCCCCCAAAGAAGATTTTTAACACCCTAACAAATGCAAAATGAATCTATTTTCAAATATACAACTACGACTAAAACAGCAGGATATTTGCCAAGCGTCTCCCCGTCTGTATTTACCTCTCAAGTGGGCCGTTTTAATTCATTAGTCTGACACAGGTTGGGTTTAGTTTTCGGCACAAAGCTCTCTGTCCGTTCAGTCAGTGCTGTCTGTGTGTAGGCTGGGTGCAGAGCGCCCCCCTCGGTCTCACCGGAGTATTGCAGCACAAAATACATGGCGGGAGTCAGGAACAAACAGCTCGTACACCCAAATCAGTTTCAGTCCTTCAACCTAATGTGGCTTTATCTTTAAAGTATACACTGTACTGGTCAAATTTGCTTTTGTTAACAAAATGTAATGACTGTGTTTGTATGTACATTCACAAATACATGATGCAGTTTTCATTTTGTGGATATATGCTATGTACAGGAAACTATTGAAAATATATTAATTTACCAATATTAATCTCTACTTTAATTGCAGTAGTTACTGTAAGTGTAAGTCTACAGTGATGATCGGTCAGTACTTATTTCTGCTACCATTACGTTTAATGGTATTGCTGTTTCTTCGTATCATTGTGGTACAAACGAATTCAATCAATGACTCAACTTTCCTTAAAGTAATAAAATGTAAGCGTAGTGACACCTGGTGGTCAACTGGTAGTTATGGACAATTGGAAAAAATGGTCCAACTTTACCCATTTTATGGATGCTGCGGACCATCTGCTTTTGATCAAATAAGCAGATTTTCTGCATTGACCCAAACTAACCACTATTTCATTGTTTCAGTAACATCTGACATGGTAATGTTCTATTGGTTATGTGCATTAATGATAATAGGGTCTACTGTAGCAGGGATAAAGTGCCTAAATCATCAGATACTGACACACATTCACACACAAAAAGAATAAATGGCTGGGATGAGGGTGTTACAGGAGGCTACTGGTCTCAGCCTAACTCCCAATTACAACTACAAAGAAATGCAGTGATAAGTAATCAAGGTTCAATTTTGAAAAAAAAAGTAGCTATGAAGTATTAAAGATTTTTTTTTTAAAGTAATGGCCTATAACTTGTAATATATAGACTATTTTTAAATCGCAAAATTGTTTGTGCAGCCAATGTCAAAGTACACAGAATTCCAGATATTGAATTTCATGACCAAAACCTTATTGCGTGTATTTTACAGTACCTACCCAAAATCCTAACCATGTACATTTACCCCAGTACTTGAGTTTAAAGCTAATTTGAAAAATGGATTTCCTACAGAAAATCTGTATGAATATTGACAACCGAAATTGCAAAGCGTTGCTGAGAAATGAGGAATCTTACAGCGCAATTGCATTGCTCTGCTGAAAAACGTGAAAACTGAATTGTAAAACTGGCAGAGTTGAAAGCTGAACTGCATTACCTTAAGAAGCTAAGAGCTGAAACACATTGCTAGAATAGCTGGAAGCTAAACGGTAGTACTGTCACTGGTGGAAGTTGAAATTTCCTAAAAGGCTGAAATAAACAAATGCTTTGTAGTTTAATAGCATAAAATCGAAGTTTAATACATGCATAAATGTCCTAAAAGAGCATAACGGTTTGACCTTTGAAGGGAAGTATAAATAGGCCTACTTTGTGACCCATTTCAAGTTTAAATTAAGTTTGTAGATAAAAGTATGGAAATTGTAAAATTTCAAAGTGGACTAGACTGAAGTCGTTTTTCAACTCACTAAAATGTCTTAACCTTTGAAAAAGCTTTAAATGAAGTATGACTGTCTAGGAGTTTTTGTTTTGAATGTTCAGTTTTGTGTTACAATCTTGGGGCTTTTATTTAGAAAATCCAGCCTTGTCCTTTCCAACCAGTAAAATCCTGTTGACGTCTAGGGAGTTTATTTTGAAAATCCAGCGAAAACCAGAGTCAGAGCTCCTCTTGCCTGGTTGGTGCATTACCTAAAGCAGCTAAGAGCTGAAAGACAGTGCTCGAAAAGTCAATGCTGATTCAGCATTTACACAAATATTTAGTAGTTACTAGTTTCTTTGTGTCAACTTCCAAGGTGTGGTGAAGCATCATCCATGTAATAGGTTAAAATGCTGCTTATATGTTAATGTATCACTAATAATAATCCAGTGTAATTACATGACAGTTTCACAATGACAGGGCTGCATATGAAAACTTTTGAGACATCACATTTTTCTCATTCTGAAGCGCTATGTAAGATTTGAATGCATGATTATTTTGTATCGTTACATGGCTACTTTTACTCACGTAAAACCTCTGTATAAGGTTAGGTTAATCCACAAATGCTGAATTGTTCAGAAAGACCAGGCTGTAAACTCAAGTCTCAACATGCACCATGTGCCACGGCGACCTTTTATTTTGAAGTCACTGTCTTGACTTCCGGTGTAAACCTCTCTAGCTGACTTGGCAGTATTCACGCTTTCTGATGTATTTCCACCACTTGGAGTGCTGTTAGATATCATAACCTTGAGTTGTTGCCCTTTGGTTACTCCACAGAATCATGGTTTCAGCTCCGGGACACCCTCTGGTAGCTCCAGCGCTACTTAGTTAGCTCCATGTAGCCGCTAACGAGAGCAACCGGCGGCTACAGCCCGGATAGGGAATGCCTCGGAGAAAGAAAAACGGCCAAAGCCCGGCCAGAGTCCCCGGCGGACCGCCAGAGGGGGGAAGCCTCGGCAACAACACCAGCTACCGACTACCTCAGGGATTTGACGGTGCCATGGCGAACAACTTTCCATCCAGCACCTCGCTCCCCAGCTCCGTCAAGGAGAACATCGTCAAAAGCATGCAAGAGATGTTCTCACACCTGGAGCCAGAAGTTATATACATCGTGCTATCCGAGTGTGATTTCAAAGGTAGCATTAAACACGGAAGACTGGTAATCCAGCCTGCTCTTTGACTCATGGAAATGCTATTTAGTGTTATATGTCTAACCAGTTAGCTGTGTAGCTTGTTAGCAGTGTTACTATAACAGCATTTTACAACGTTACTGTGTAGTGGGGTCCCATGTGTATTATTGACAGTATCAGCAGTCATCTGAAACTGCACCTTACATTCCTTGGGTCAGCAACCCACGCACCCTCTTCCACCTGTTGAGCCTGTTTATATAAGCCACGAGTCCCTGCGTTCCCAATATATATATGTACTGTATGTGTACACTTTACTTTTAACTGCCATTGCTGATGGAAGAATAAAATGCTGTATCAAAGCCTGGGGGACACAACAGAAAACCTGCAACCAAAGCCCAGTGGCTAATCCCAGGTCAGATGACTGCAGAGTCCTGCCTGGTCAGGCACAGTTTACAAAATTACACAGAAAGGAGTTATTTAAATGACTGAGAAGTTTAGAAGTAGGACAGCCAGGTTCCATACCACCACTTACCCAGAGAGTGCTCATGTCCTTAACTCCGAAACCACCAATTGTGTTGTTGTTATTCTTGTCACTGTAATGGTATGTCTGAAATTCATCGTCATTGGTTTATGGTGATGACAGCATTGCTGCAGTAAGGCTTCTTTTGCATACCCTTATTTTTAGTTGATTTTTTTTTCCTGCATTTTTTGTAACCACTTTAATGTTTTATTTTGTTCTGTGTGAGCTCATCAATGCACATTCCCATGAACTACGTTAAAATAAGTTTTGAAAAATGTAATCGCGACTTTTAAATCAACTCCGGGTGTCTGTGGTTTCTCTGTTTGTGTTCTAGTTGAAAATGCAATGGACTCTCTCTTGGAGCTGTCTGTGGCTGCTGAAGTTGTAGCCCCTATACCTTCTCCAGTCTCTGGCTTTGAGCGCACTGCTGCAGCCCTGCTCAGCCCTCGCCACTTTTCTGAACCTAGACCAGACCCAGACTCCTCCAATCCATCACAGCTGCCCTCCTCTCCCCCCTCCACCAACCTCCTGACAGCAGACCTGGACCTGCTAGTTGATCAGGAGCTGGAGACACTGGACGCACAACAAGGCGTTAAGGAAGAGCATGGCAGCAGCCAGTATTTATCTACTGGCACCTCGCTTTCCTCTTTCCCCCCACCACCATTCCCACAGAAGGTCCTCCCTGAGCTGCTTCAGTCCAGCCTGCAGCCTGGATCTAGAGGGCCCTCTGGAGGTGACCTGGTGGAGCATGTTTCTGGACCTTCCTCTCCGCTCGACCAGCTCAGCACTTGGGAAGATGGGACTGTTGAAGAGCGGCAGTCGATGGTGGATTTCACACATCTGATGACAGAGATGCCTGCAGAAAAGCCAAAACCTCCTTTGGACCTGGCAGCTTCAGGACGTCCCTCGGCTTTCCAGGTGTATAAAAAGCAAGACCCATCGCATGCTCTCTCAGAAAAGGCCGGGGTCATGCCCCCTAAAGTAGTAGTTGGAGGAGCAAGATCTAAGGTGAACATGTTGAATGAGGTGCCTCTAGGTTACATGCCGTCACCCTGGAATCTACAGGCACCAGTGTTTTCTCCTCGTATCCATGGGAACCAGGGGCCAGCCTTCATTACCCCTGTAGCTCAGACACCTTCCA